TTGAGAACGGGGTTTCTCTCCCTGACTGACATCACAGCCAGTAAACCATGTTAGATTGCTGGGTGTGAGGATCCGAATGCCCCCTTTACAGTAAAACACAGGGCGCCGTGGCCAGCTCCCCGTCTCCAAGAGAATTCTTTTCCTCTACTGGCTTGGTTGCTGTTGTTTTATTGTTGGGGGTTTTGTTGGTCAGGTTTGGTTTTTTTTAGTTCTGTGAGGATTTTGCATGATGTTTTTGATCATATTCTTCTCCCTCCCACAATTCCTCCAGGATACACATGCACATGCGCGCATGCACGCGCGCACACACACACACACACACACACACACACACACACACACACACACAAACTTCAGGTCCTTTTTTTTTAACTCATTAAGCACAACTTGTACCGCTCCCATACACTTGGGTACGGGACCACCCACTAGAGCATGAATAACTTAGCAGGGACCACACCCTCAAAGAAAAGGGATTCTCCCTCTCCCAGCAGCTATCGGCGACCAATGGCTTCTCAGCTTGGAGTGGGACTTTATGCCTGCCTTCCCTTTGCATGCTGGCATCTTGGTCTGGCTTACACTCCGTGGGTCTTGGGCATGCTCTGGAGGGGGCGCAGACACGGTCCCTTCTCTCTCTCTCTCTCTCTCTCTCTCTCTCTCTCTCTCTCTCTCTCTCTCTCTGTGTGTGTGTGTCTGTCTCTCTGTCTCTGTCTGTCTCTGTCTCTCTCTCTGTGTCTCTCTCTGTGTCTGTCTGTCTCTCTGTCTCTGTCTCTCTCTCTCAGCTTAACCTCGGGTTAACGCTCAGACTCACATAGTCTTTGTTACCTCCGAACATAAGACTCGAGGGTGCGTCTCCTTTCTCCCCACTTCCGGACTTGCTCATGCTAGAAACTCCCAAGCCACCACCCGGGGGCCTTTTAAGTCCCTTCCTCTCTATGAGTTTTCATCTACGTGGACTCTCTCTCGGTATCTTGACGTTCTGAGGGTGACTATCACACAACCCCCCTTTATTTCTTTTCCAGCGTTGCAGAATGCCTGAGAAGAACAAGTGAAGGGAGGAGTTTTTTTTTTCCTGGCTCACAGTTTGAAGAGGCACAGCCTGTCATGGCGGAGAAGACACAGGGGTAGGAACATGATGTACAGACTTCTCACATCTCCACGGACAGGGAGTGGACCCTGGCCATAAACATCAGTGCTCTCCCCTAGTGACCGACTTCCTCCAACAAGGCTCCACCTCAATGGCACCCCAACTGTGAGGCCAGCATTCAAACCCCTGAGCCTATGGGGACATTCACAGTGTGCAGCTGCTTCCCCCAAACTGAAACACTCCCTCCTCGAGAGAGGAGGAAACTCATAGGGCCAAGGAAGTGAATGAAACACACAAGACTCAGGAAGTTTCTGGAACCTGAAGTAATCCATAAATTCCCTCATTTAAGGTTATACATGCAATAAGCGGTTTCTGGGGTGAGACAGCTCCATTCTGCCTGGCTGCCAGGAAGTTGTGAGGGAGCTCCATGGGTAAGCTTGCCTGAGCTGCCCATGCTGGGTAGGTTTTTTTAAGGGGTGGGGCTGTTTTTGAGTCGCACAAATTCCTGTTAGCAACACAATAACTCACTGGTCACTAAGCTAGATTTGAACAGGATTAACTCTTTGCTCCATCATCAGTGCCTTCTCCAGAGTGAAGAGACATGTGTCCGTATCCCTAGTAAAAACTACACAAAATTTTCCCCCAGAGGTCCTAGTAGTTGGAGCTCTTGGAATAAGTGTCCAGACCATCACCATTTGTTTCTGCTGCAGTAACTAAGTCTTTGCTGGACTAGGGGCCCAAGCTGCACTGAAGGTGAACGGATTAAATGTGTTTGTGTGTGCGTGTGTGTGTGTGTGTGTTTGTGTGTGTTTGTGTGTGTTTGTGTGTGTGTGATATATATGTTAAAGATTGCAGTAACAGCAATCCATTCCTTCAACTTTTCTGTAAAACCCTCATTTGAAATTGCTGATCAGACCGTCCCTCTTCATGCCTGAACTTGGGAATCTGGTTTTCCTTTTCCGTTACGTCCTGGGTGCTACGGTGGCCGTCACTGTGCTCTGTGCAGAGGTCCCCCAGCTGCCAGCATCAGCGCTGTGTCTCACTCAACATGACTCCTGGGCAGGGTTTCCCACCTTCCCTTAGGTCATACTCCTGGGCAGGGTTTCCCACCTTCCCCTGGGTCATACTCCTGGGCAGAGTATCCCACGTGTCCCTGTGTAGCTCCTGGGCAGGGTATCCCACGGTCCCCAGTGTAGCACATCTTCTTCCACAGTGAAGCCAGAAGCTAATGACATATCTTGACCCTCTTATCTCCGTGTGTGACAACTCCAAAGCCCCCTACCCCAGCTCAGACCCTCCATGTGCTGACCTGAGGTCTCGGTTCAACCATTGTAGGGGAGAGCTCACATACCTGAGATACTGGCCACGCCCATCTGGGGCGTGGACAGGGGGACTTGGGAAAGGCAAGAGATATACAGGAGAAAGAGAAAGTAAAATCTCTCTTGGATGCTGGCCCTGCTTCCAGGAGCAGAGCGCTCTCCAGCTTCCCCTGTGATTTCTATATTTAATAAAGTATCCTAGAAAAGGACCATCAAACAAATAAGAATCTACTGTTTGGTATCAATCTCTGACTCTCTCAACCTTGTTCTTATAATAATATCTATTTCTCCTTACTTCCTAATACTCTTTTAATCCCAATTCACTAAACTGAAGGGGCTTTGGAGTTGGATTGGCTCTCCTCCTCTAAATCCAAGCATGTTGTTAAAATAAAATTCAGAGTTTCTGTATTATATCAAGGAGCCGTTGATTAAGACAGAAGAAAACGAAATCTAGGGACTGTCATCTCTTTATACTTGGTTCTTTCTCTGAAAGTCTAATTTCCCTCATATTTACCATCTCCCTATGCATACACATAAAAGATGAAAATTTCTCTGTTAACGTTAATGTTTAAGTTTTGCACAAAGAACAAGGAATTTTCCAACAGCAATCTTCAAAAACTTCAAAAAGAAAATGGGGCCCCACATCATCGATTCCACCTGACAAGTACCATCCTAAAACCGGTTTGGGACTACATCGCTCTACACAGCTCCGGACCAATGAACTGATATGGTGCACCTTCTACAATCTGGCCAGAGTCTCAGACAACAACTTCAATCAAGATTAGAACGTCAATCAATAACTTCCATCAAGCATCTGAATGCAACAGAGACTGAATGCAAATGAGACTTTCCACTTCCGTTACACTAACATTTTTTTTTCCTTACCGGATCCCATGAGGTTGTGGTCATCCCATTTCAGCAGAAAGTAATTTTGAGAAAACCACGCCCCCTCTCCCTACTGTTGATATTGTTTATACATGATAGGGTAAGTTTTCGATTATTTAGGGTTGGAATTGGAAGGAGATGTTCAGACTTGGGCATCTCTTTCAGATAAGTTTAGGGTTTAGATGGGATAGATATACTTAGGATAGGATTTAAGTGGATTATAATTTGCTTATCATCTTCTATGTATGTATGCTGTATATATGTTTGAGTATTGTATCAAGTCTAAATCTTTTATTTAGACTAAAAGGGGAATTGTAGGGGAGAGCTCACTTACCCGAGATACTGGCCACGCCCATTTGGGGCGTGGATGGGGGATGTGGGAAAGGCTGTAAAGGGAAGCCTTTTCCTTGCTAGCCGCTTTGGTTTATCCCCCATCAGTTGCCTGGGCTCTGCCGCGTTGTAGTCCCCAAATAACACACAAGACACTGTATTAATTATGAAGCTGTTGGCCTTGCTTGTTTCTTACTGGCTAGCTCTGACTTAAGTAATTACCCTATAATTGTTAATCTAAGTATTTCTCTTACCGGAGAACAGTTCCGGGCTTCCTACCCCATGGCGGTTACATCTCGACTCTCCTGTTTCTCCTACCCAGTGTCCTCCTGGACTCCTAGTTCCACCTATCTTTGTTCCCTATTGGCCAACAGTGCTTTATTATTGACATATACACAGGACTTCCCCCAACAAAAGGCAACAGATAGCCAGGCGGTGGTGGCGCACGCCTTTAATCCCAGCACTCGGGAGGCAGGGGCAGGCGGATCTCTGTGAGTTCGAGGCCAGGCTGGACCGACAGCCTCCAAAACAATACAGAGAAACCCTGTCTCATAAAAACCAAAAAAAAAAAAAGCAAGAGATATATAGGAGAAAGAAAAAGTAAAATCTCTCTTGGATGCTGGCCTTTCTTGGGAAAGAACAGCGCTTCCCAGCTTCCCCTGGAAGTGATTTCTATATTTAATAAAGTATCCTAGACCCTATTTTTTCCTGTTGCACCATTTCCTTTTCAAACTATACTGCACATCCGCTCATCTGCCCAATCCTCCTTCGCTCACATCCTCGCAGGGATATGTCCAGCGCACACTTCCTTATAACTCCTAGAAACAACTGTGCAACCTAATGTAATCACCATACAAAAAAATGCATGGTTATCATATGAAAGTCTGACAGTTCAGATCCCGAAAGTCTGACAGTTCAGATCCCCAGAACCCCATGTCAAAGCCAAGCAGGCATAGTCACTGCCTGTAGCCCCAGTGCTCCTGGAAACAGAGACAAAGGGCTCCCTAGGGCAATGTCTAGGGTAGCAGGGATGAGGGCACTCGGAGCTCATCAGGAAATACCACCTCAAATAATAGAGTAGACAGCAGTCAAAACGGACACTGAAGTCAGCTGCAGACCTACACATGCACACTCACACACACACATTCATGCTCACGCTCACCAGTACATGTGTACCCATATACATGTAAACAATTCTACACACACACACACACACACACACTACATTATTATTAGAGGCAATTGCTTGGATGCCCGCCCCGTAATCATGTAACCCATGAAGAACCAGTGCCCGTATGGATTGCTTCTCTATATGTTTGGTTCTTATCTTACACCCCTGATTAATAACAGAAACATTATCACATTTCCTCAAAAGTTCTTACTTCCATCTTGGAATTTGCTTAATCGTTCAAAATACGAAGACATGGGGGCCTGGACGATGTCTAGGATAGCCAGCAGGGTCCTTGTCAGCCGCAGCAACTCACTGAAGCTGTAGAATCCAAAGTATATCAGGTTCCGAGCCAGGTGGACCACCTCCGTTGGGAAGAGCGGAAGACAGAATAGCATTGGAAAATGGAATAAACATTTGCAATTTTTACATCTAGAGTGGTTCCTAATACTTTAACACCTAGGATTTAAAATTCCTGTAAAGGCTGCTGTTCAGACTGTAACTGATCCAAATCTAGGGTCTATTCATAAGAGGCTTTAAGGTGCTTTGAGGAGTTTATGTTACAATATCTACTACTTAATTAATGTAAGTCAGGAGGATACCACTTAATCAGCGGTTAAATTACTCTAATAAATATGAGCCATAAACTGGCCCAGAGTTTTATGTCTCCTATCCTGGCTCATGGCAGTGGAGAGCTAATGTACCAGGTATGATGTGAGTACGTATGTCACACTAACTCACTCAGTAAGGGGGAGGGGCTCGTTATGTGACCTGAAGCTTTTCTCTTTCCCTTCTGATTCAAAGAGCATCACATCACTTGACTGTGGTCTAACTAACATATGAACTGCATTTCTGCACATCATGTATTTTTTCAAAAGTAAGGCAATGAATGGAATTAAAGTTTAAAATCCCAAATCTACAATTTTGTCATCATCAGACAGAATTGTGTCTGCCTGAACCTGAGAATCCCACTGCCCAGACACCCTAAATATTAGAGGAGAGGAAAATCTTCAGTGCTCGGTGCACCTGATTTCTGGCAAGAGCGCGCAGTCATGCCAGGAGTGACTGTTTTGAAACACCTCCAGTGGGGCTGGGGGAGGCTCAGGGTCTGAGAGCACTGGCTGCTCCCCCAGAGGACCTGAGTTTGGTTCTCAGCTCCCACATGGTTCTCCGTCGTCTGGCTCCAGGGGATTTGTCGCCCCCTTCTGACCAGTGGGCACCCGTCACAAAGAAAATAGATTTAAATTTTTTAAATACCTCAAATGTCAGCTTATTTTTCTCTTTGTCTCCAAAAGGAAATGGCTGGTTTACAACTTCTTTCAAATATTCTTCAACAAATTCCATTGTGAGAGCAAATTTCCTCTTCATGTCATTTCTGGAAGAGTCCGTGGTGGAGTCATACCTGGGCAGATGATACAAGAGTGAGTTAAGTCGATGAGAAACACTGAGAAGTGGAGCTGTTCAGAATGCTTTGCCTTGCACACAGTAGGGATGTTATCTATTCAGACTCCCATGGTGCATTGCCTTGGACACAGTGGGACTTTCATCTATTCTGACTCCCAGAGTGCACTGCCTTGCACACAGTGGGGATGTTATCTATTCTGACTCCCACAGTGCACTGTCTTGCACACAGTGGGGATGTTATCTATTCTGACTCCCACAGTGCACTGTCTTGCACACAGTGGGGATGTTATCTATTCTGACTCCCACAGTGCACTGTCTTGCACACAGTGGGATGTTACCTATTCTGACTCCCAGAGTGTATTGCCTTGCACACAGTGGGGATGTTACCATGCTTTGCCTTGGACACATCAGTCAGCCTCTTGGGGTAAGCATCCTACCTGTGACGGGGCCACCGCCAACTGAGATGGAATGAGCAGGGTGGAGTCTGCCAGTCACCACACACTCAGCTGCCAGGGTTAGCACTTTTGCTTTCTAGCCTCGGGGAACATGTTTCCTGCTGGAGAGCTATCATTCTGCCCTCAGGACGTGGCATCTCACTGACCCTTCCCAGGGAACACTGCGAAGGGAAATGCACAAATCCCTTCCTGTGTTTTTCTTTTCAGAGTTAAAGCCACTTTGACTTGGCCTTCATCTGCTGACTTTGAACAGAGAAATGCCTCTCAGACAGCTCACCCTCACTGTCAGCTTGGCAGGATCTGGAATCTTCCAGACAGAAAACACACCTCTGGGCACATCTGCGAGGGTGCTTCCAGAACCAACTAGCTGAAGAGGGAAAGGCCCACTTTGAGTGTGGAGAGCACCGCTCCCTGGGACGGAAACCGTTACTGGACGGAGAGGAAAAAATCAGAAGTGTGACCTCCCCGCCCCTGAGAAAAGATTCCAGGTGACACTGCCTCGAGGTCCCTGCCCTGATGGACTGGTCCCTCGAACTGTGAACCACACTAAAGCTGCTTCTCGTCCGCTATGAGAAAGGTAATGAATACAACGTACTGGACGGTTTTACATCAACTTGACACAAGCTGGAGTCCCTGGAGAGGAGGGAGCCTCGACCGAGAAAACTTCTCCCTGAGGTCCATGGACAGACAAGACCATAGGGCATTTTCCTAACTAGCGGCAGGTGGAGGGAGGGGCAGGCCATGGGGAGAGGGGCAGGACATTGCGGGTGGTGCCGTCCCTGGGTGCCCAGGTCCTGGGATCTTTAAGAAATCAGGCTGAGCAAGCCATGGGGAGCAAGCCAGTGAGCAGCAGTGCACCCCTCCATGGCCTCTTTAGAGCAGCTCCTGCCTCCGGGTTCCTGCCTCCTGTCCTCGTTTCCTTCAATGGGAGCAAGAGTCAAACAAACCCTCCCCTTCCCAAGTCACTTTCATCACACCTAACTGAGGCTGGGGAGATGGCTCCGTGGTTAAGAGCACTGGAGGCTGCTCTTCCAGAGGGCCTGGGGTTCAATCCCCAGCAACCCAAGCTCGGCGGCTCACAACTGTCTCCGTCCAACCCCAGTTCCAAGGGACCCAACACCCTCACAGACCCGTGCGTGCAGTCAGAACACCTATGCACGCAAAGTTAAATAAATAAATAATTTAAAAAGTAAATAAATAAATTGGTTTCCAAACATACTCGTGAATGGTGATCTTTGTGGGGATTTCGGTCCAGAGCCGGGCATAGCGAACGGGCACCACGGACTCCTGGGGGTCCCGGTCAACGTGCATGTGGAGCATGAGTCGACAGAAAGACGCTCGGAGGTCAAAGGGCAGGCTCTCATCAGACACACAGCGAAGGATCAGGTCCACGGACAGCTGTGCTGAAATCTGGTTGATGGCCAGATACTGGCGGTCCAAGCACATCCTTGCGAAGAGGTTCAGCTGGTACCTAGAGAGCATAAGGCGTGTTAACGTCATTCCTCTTGCCCCCATTGAAGAAAGCCATCAGCAACGCAGCCGACTGCTGGGTGTGCGGGGGTGTTCGTGAGTGCTTAACAACACTCAGCCCGACTCTCTTGGCCAGTGAACAAATGAATGACAGCATGGGGTCTAACACTGTCTCTGTCACCACAGTAAGTCACACGAAACCACCTTTCTCTCTCTCTCTCTCTCTCTCTCTCTCTCTCTCTCTCTCTCTCTCTCTCTCTCTCTCTCTCTCTCTCTCCACCTTCCCCCGCCTCTGTCGGGGTGGGGGCTACGGAGCCTCCAGAATCTGCACCGGCTTTGTCTGACCTCAGCCTGGTTTGCAGAGCAGCAGACAGGATAAGTCCCAACGGTGCTGTCTCAGGGTCCTATAGCCTCTACGATTAAGGGTGAGCCCTTGGTTTGGTTTTGAGAGACATAAAAGCCAGGAGACGCCAGACGTTCCGGGTCCTTCCTTGGTTCCCACCCACCTGTCTCTAGGGTTTCTGCCTTGGGCTTTGTCCCTTAAATCCAAAACGCCAGGTCGGTCTTTTTAACTGTTGTTGTTTTTCTCTCTTGGAAGGGGAGGGAGGGCACCCATGTGCCACATGACTTGTGTGGGGGTCAGAGGACAACATCTGGGAGTTGGCTCTCCCCTTCCACTGTTAGTTCCAGGGATCGAGTTAAGGTCGTCAGGCTTGCAGTGACAAGCATTTCCACCCACCGAGACAGCTTGCCAGCCCTCCAGCTAGGTTACTGATCCCAGCACACTGACCCTGGGGAACCGCCCCTCGAGCTGTTGCTAATAAACACAGGTGACCCTTCCAGAATGACAGACACCTGTGCCTTGCAAGCCCCAAAGAGCACGTGCTCACAACAAGATGCCATCTTAACCCACCGCCACTTCTGTGAGGTCACCCCGGCAGCCACACCCTCTCATTCCAGTTCCCACCCACCCCCTCCATCCACAGTCAAGGTCCTGTTGCTTCTCACCCGCCCCTACTACATCCCACTGGTAACAGGAAGAAACGCCTACTGACGAGCCCCACGCTCATCAGAAAATGTAAACAGAGAACGCATGTGTTAGCTTTCATCTCGAGATCTCTAGGCGGTTCCTCTCCTTCTGAATTTTTTGTTTTGTTTTGTTTTGTTTTTGATACAGGGTTTCTCTGCATTGTTTTGGAGGCTGTCCTGGCACTCAGTAGACCAGGCTGGCCACGAGCTCACAGAGATCCGCCTGCCTCTGCCTCCCGAGTGCTGGGATTAAAGGCGTGTGTCACCAACGCCCGGTTCTTTCTGCGTTTTCAGGTGCCCTCCTCTGTGTCTCTAGTTCCTAGAGGTTTGAGAGAAGCGGCTCCCTGTGAACACTGGACGGGGAGTGTGAGTGTCCCCAGCACCTGTAATAGGTCAGAACCTCCAGGTCAGCCTTGGTGCCTTCCTTGGCTTCCTGGGCGAGGTGTCTGATGGCCTTGCCGTGGGGCTCCTTGTGGCTGTCAATCCAGTAGAGCCACACCTCCTCATCGTCAATGTCGTCAGGAAGGATGGGGCTCTCCATGGGGTTTTCCACTTGCATGGACACCAGCCTGGAAGGGCAAAGACACGCAGAGTCTGCTAAGAGGCACACACCCAGTGGGGGATGTCCCGGCAGACGCCTGCGGGGGGGGGCAGCTTACTTGGTCTGAATGAGGATGTCGGCGTTGCCAGGACTCAGCATGAACTTGCAGATGAGCTCCTGAGTGACAGGAATGGCAGTGCTGTTGGACACACAGAGATCAGACAAGTAGTCCAGAAACCTAGGAAGGGGAAAAGGGAAACGTGAGGAAAATGCATTTCATTTTCCTATTTTAGCAGATCGTCCTTTAGGGATTCTTCAACGGTTTCATTTTTGCAAGCAAAGCACCTCGAGTGTATCCACTCACCAATTAATGTTTTTTCTTAAAATCTTTAAAGTGCGTGCATGTTTGGGCGTGGGCTCTGGCCCAGACTTCCGGCTGACTGTCCTGCCACCACCCCCACCCCCCACCCCCGCCACCATCTGTGTGAGTGCCGGAATCACGGATGCGAGCCCAGGTCGCTGCACCCAGCTCTTCTCCCGGAGATCTGGGCACTGAACTCGGGCCATCAGGCCTCTCTGTCAAAGGCTTTCACACACACTATAGCATCTCACCAGCCTGGCAAAGCATTTTAGTAAAATCATCACAACAGAAATGTAACTTGGAATTGCATAAAAGAAGCTTGACTTGCATTGCTTCAATGCAGTGTCTGTCTGTCTGTCTGTCTGTGCGCTTGTTCATCTGCTGCATCATTAAAAGCAGACTGAGCAATTCTTTCTATCACATGTGAGCCTTTGCTCGCCATGGGTGTGTCTGCTTCCGTGTTTTAGGTGACGTTCATCCCTCAGCACAATGACTCGCGTTTAGAAAAATCATCTTCCCTCGAGTGTCTTCCAAAACCAAGTATCAACAGAAAAGCAAAACAATGTGAGTATATAACAGGGTTAGGGAGCACTCTTCAGTGAGTATATAACAGGGTTAGGGAGCACTCTTCAGTGAGTATATAACAGGGTTGGGGAGCACTCTTCAGTGAGTATATAACAGGGTTGGGGAGCACTCTTCAGTGAGTATATAACAGGGTTGGGGAGCACTCTTCAGTGAGTATATAACAGGGTTGGGGAGCACTCTTCAGTGAGTATATAACAGGGTTGGGGAGCACTCTTTAGTGAGTACATACAGGGTTGGGGAGCACTCTTCAGTGAGTATATAACAGGGTTGGGGAGCACTCTTCAGTGAGTACATACAGGGTTAGGGAGCACTCTTCAGTGAGTATATAACAGGGTTGGGGAGCACTCTTCAGTGAGTATATAACAGGGTTAGGGAGCACTCTTCAGTGAGTATATAACAGGGTTAGGGAGCACTCTTCAGTGAGTACATACAGGGTTGGGGAGCACTCTTCAGTGAGTATATAACAGGGTTAGGGAGCACTCTTCAGTGAGTATATAACAGGGTTAGGGAGCACTCTTCAGTGAGTATATAACAGGGTTAGGGAGCACTCTTCAGTGAGTATATAACAGGGTTGGGGAGCACTCTTCAGTGAGTACATACAGGGTTAGGGAGCACTCTTCAGTGAGTATATAACAGGGTTGGGGAGCACTCTTCAGTGAGTATATAACAGGGTTGGGGAGCACTCTTCAGTGAGTATATAACAGGGTTGGGGAGCAGTCTTCAGTGAGTATATAACACTGTTGGGGAGCACTCTTCAGTGAGTATATAACAGGGTTGGGGAGCAGTCTTCAGTGAGTACATACAGGGTTAGGGAGCACTCTTCAGGAGAGGATGGTTGGTCCCGGGGGAAGCCCCTGTCCACCTCCCAGCATTGACTGTTAGAGCACGAGGCAGAGAAAACACGGTGAGTGTTCTTGGCTTGTGTGCTGTTCCCACCTAAGGCATCATGGCGGGGGGGGGGGGAGAGAATGCGCGACCCCCTTGGACCCAGCACCCCCTCCCTAACCGGGGGACTCAGCTTCATGTTCATTCTCTTGTCTTTCATTCTCTCCTTCCTAAAGTGAGGGTAAAAGCTGGGGAGCCCCCAAATGCGTGGCCACTTTCACCATCCCAGCACTTGGGAGACTGAGGCAGGAGGCTTGCCTTAAAGGGAAGGCCAACCTGGGCTACACAGTAAGTTCCAGGCCAGCTTGGCCTGCAATTGTGGGAGGAAAAATAATGGAAGACAAAACTTAAGACCCCCTAGGTTCAATTCCCAGCACCAAAAAAGAAATAGATAATAAGTGAGTCACTGAATTTTGTTAAAATCTAGGTAGCAGTGCATAGCACTTACCTCAGGAGAACGTAATGTGTATCATTTAAACCAAGCGCCCCATCAGGAGTGCCCAGCCTTTAGACACCACAACACGGTGCCACCGCCCATAAACGTGCCGGTCACCATTCATAGCTTTCCTAGGACACGCGTGGCCCACATCTGCAAGCTGGACACCTGGGAGAGTCTATGTGAACACGCTTTGGGCTTCTGAGGCTTCTTCTTGCGGTACCGGGATTAATCCTTGAGCCTCACATTCTCCCACTGGCTTAACTCCTCAACTATTTTTGTTTTTTTGTTTTTTATTTCGCGACAGGGCCCTACCAACTGTTCTTAAACCCAGTGTCGTAACCCAATTCCTAGCCTTGTAATCATCCTGTCTCAGGCCCCTGGGCAGCTGGGATTACAGGTGTGAAAATACACGAATATATTTTGGAAAACCGTACAGAAGTAAGAGTACATTTAAACGCCAGTCTAGGGCTGGGGTGCAGCAGCCGGCCACTTTCCAAGCCTGTGTGAGCCTTAGGTGAGCTCCCCAGCACCAAGGAGACACATCAACAGCGTCTCTAAAGGACTCTGATCACCTGTGAAGCAGAAACTGTTCTACACACACACACACACACACACACCCTGTTATCACGGAAACAAACACTTCATCTGCCCATCAAGAGTCAGGGCTACAATAGATGCTCAACTTTTTTATCTTAAACAAACAAAAAAAAAGACAAAGCAAAAAAACAACTCTTACACACACACACACACACACACACACACACACACACGAGAGCGGACCTGGGCTCCCGGTTCCTCCTGAGCAGGTTGACGAAGGTCTCGATCTCTTTAGCCGTGATGTGCTTCTCCAGTAGTTTGCGGTTGTTGTGTAACAAGGCCGTGATCGTATCTTCTGCCAAAATGTCATAGCCGATCTGGGACTGCATAACGCAGAAGTTCTTAGCGATGTACTCCTGCGGGGAGGAAGAGACATCAGCTGCCTTCAATGGCAGCTCCCTGGGGGGTCTGCAGCAGGGTCACCTGGGCAGCAGGAAAGCCCAGCAGGAGAGCTTATCGGAAGAAAATCAGTAAACGATGCCTCAGTAAAGGGAAATACTGGAGGAAATTTCTCGAGGGCGGGGGGCGGGACTTTGTGGGAGATCACTTAACCGGCACCTGCAAGGCTCGAGGTTCCATCCTCAATACTGCAAATAACTAATTAATCAATTAATTAAAAGCTATGTCACTCATCACTATTTTCTAAATGGGTACTGGTACTCTTGTAAGTGAGAAAAGGAAACTCTAACTGTAGTTTTTACGCCATGGTAACTTAGAATTTCATCAGCCGGCAAGGGGCCTCTCAGACACTCGCCAGAAGCTATAACTGCCAATTTCAGGTAAAATAATAATAAATTTTTTTAAAAAGTACATGACTGCCTCGCTCCTGGGATCTGAGATCGGTGCAGCCGATTGAATGTCCTACATGGACTCCAGTTGTCTTGTTTGTCGTTTGTTTGTTTGTTTTTGTTTTCCTCAGACTGACACTAGAATGACCAACAAGATCATCTGTGACGAATGATATAAAAAAAATTAGCGTACTTATCAGTAAGGAGCAACCGATCAAACAGGATTGCATGGTAACTCGAGTCATTAATTAGATCCAGCCACGCAATAACTGTCTAACTACGACTTCAAACGTTACGGGGACTGTGTGGGAGGCTGTGGGTGTGGCCGAACCTGAGAAAGGTCTCTCTGGAGATCTCACTATGAGATAAGAGAGAGCAGACAAGAGGACAGACACGTGTCCACGCGTGGATGAGCGCGGCGTGAAGCCGAGGTTGGAGACGAGAGGCAGCTGCAGATGACAGAGGCAGAAAAGAAATGGACAAGTCAGCAAGGATGGAAGGACAGCAGCCCTGGGAGCAGCAGCAGGGCGTGCCCAGCGTGGAGTGGCACCCGCCAAGGTCCTGTGGTAGAGTGTTGGGGCCCCCACAGGGTCTCTGAGTTGCTTGTCAGCTGATAGCCACAGGTCATCCTGTTTTATAGTCCTGGCTTACTGCCCCCGCATTGCCCTACTGACAGCAACATCTAGCAGGAGGAAAACACGCTCTCTTCCACCTGGGGTTTTTCTACTGTGTTGCAAGACTATATATAAGACTGCTCCCTCCTACAAGAGAGAGACCTCGTAGCACTGGCAAAATAAAGACACTTCTTAGTACAAACAGCTGGACATCTGGTCTTTCTGTTCCTGATACCTCGGAGTTGCTTTGTGGCGCGGGCGCCACAGTGGACACAGGCGCACACATGGTACACATATACACAGCTAGGCAAAACACCCATATATACAGGGTAAGTATTTTATAATTGTATAAAAGAGAGTCAGCTTGCTTAGGTGACAATTTCTTTGTTTAAAAAAAAGAATAGAGCTGGGTGGTGGTGGCGCACAACTTTAGTCCCAGCACCTGGGAGGCAGAGGCAGGTGGATCTCTGTGATTTTGAGGCCGGTCTGGTCTATAAAGCAAGTTGCAGGACAGGCTCTAAAGCTACACAGAGAAACCTTGTCTCAAAAAAAAAAAAAGTCCTCGTGAGTTATGGTAATGGCCAAAATGTTATTCTAGCCATGAGAAGGAGAACACCACAGAGAGTGTCAGTTATGCTCTGTTTAGTCTTCTCCCTATTCTTTTTTAAATATTTATTATTTGTGTGCACATGTATGTCTGTGAACCACATGCATGCAGTACCCAAAGACGCCAGCAGAGGGTGCCAGATACCCTGGAGCTGGAGTTACAGGCAGTTGTGAGCCCCCTTTGTGGGTGCTGGGAACTGAACCCAGGCCCTCTGGAAGAGCAGTCAGTCACTGCTCTGACTGGCTGAGCCATCTCTCCAGCCTGTTCCCTGTCCCTCGTTCTCATGCCTATGTCCCAAACCACAATCACTGGCTTTCACATTCTGTGTATAGACCCTTAGCGCTAAGGAGAGCAACCCCTTCAATGGCCAAAGGTTTTCTATTTCTGGGGGTTTCTCCTTGGGAATGCACCTCTGTTTCTACGATGAGAAAATGTATCGATTAGAAAGTGGCCTTTGCCTTGAGCAAAATTTACTGGAACGTATCTAGTCCTTGAAAATGATATTGGTTACACAAATCTAATTATAGCCTAGGCATCACTTTTGTGTCCTCTCAGAATGATGCCTTGCTACTGGGTAGTCAATTACCTAAAGTAAAAGTCCCCTGCAGTGCATCACTTCAGAGCTGTATATTGATTTACACGCGTTTATGGCCATCAGAGTCATACTCTGGTGTGAGGCAAGCTTCCAAGATGTTGAGGAATAATTAAATGAAATTAGGGGTGACACTGGGCTCCATAAATAATAGCAAACCCAAACACAACATTGCATACGTGGGTCAGCACTAAATCACACGTGAGCTCTTCACTGGTGTGTTGGATGCTGGAAATTAGATAATCAAAGCAAGATGAAAAGCCGTTCTGCCTACATTTAAAGACATTTTCCCATAAACTGTCAGAGAGCTACTTATGGCAGTTAGGGGGATGGCTTGCTGTGGCTCCCGGCTCAAGAGCTTCAGTTCAGAAGGGTGGGAAGCCAGGGCGGAGGGAGGTAGGCTGGCCACGTAGCATTCAGTTGTGGGGAGGGGGCTCGGCTCACCGTCTCCTTTTTATTTAGCACTGGGCCCGGGCCAGGCAGTGCTGCCCACACTGAAGGCCTTCCATCTTCAGTGAAAGACCCGGACACGCCCTCAGGGACACGCTCTGAGGTGACAAGTCCTTACCCCACCTGTCCCGCAGAATCTCATTGGCTCTAAGCTGTTTCTGTTCTGTTGGATTAAGTGTGTTTGCATTCTCTAGGACCCAAATGGGGGCACCCCTGTCACCCCCAAAGGCCAAGCGACCATTTCAGAAGAGGAGGTGGGGACACTGTAAGAGCTGGAGGCCAGGGTAGGAGCTCTGTGAATGCTGTCTTCCAGATATGACACAATGTGACATGATGTGGCATGATGTGGCATGATGTAACATGATATGACATGATGTAACATGATGTGACATGACGTGACATGATATGACATGATGTGACATGATGTGGCATGATGTGACATGATGTGACATATGACACGATGTGACATGATGTGACATGACACGATGTGACATGATATAACATGATATGAAATGATGTGACACGATGTGACATGATGTGACATATGACACGATGTGACATGATATGACATGCTGTGACATGATGTGACATGCTGTGACATGATGTGACATGATATGACGTGATGTGACATGATGTGGCATGATGTGACACAATGTGACATGATATAACATGATATGACATGATGTGACATGATGTGACATGACACGATGTGACATGATATAACATGATATGACATGATGTGACACGATGTGACATGATGTGACATATGACATGATGTGACATGATATGACATGCTGTGACATGATGACACGATGTGACATGTAACATGATGTGACATAACATGATATGACACGATGTGACATGTAACATGATGTGACATGACATAACATGATGTGACATATGATGTGATGTGACATGACATAACATGACGTGACATGATGTGGCATTCATGAGCACACAGTAGCTGTGTTACCTGCACATTCAGCAAGACAGGGCTGATCGGGAGGAAGAAGAGGATTCTGCAGGGGTGAGAGGAAATCAAGGCGGGTGACGGAGCACAGATGTGATCGCAGTGTCCTGTATGCATGTGTGAGCTGTCAAAAGAAGCTGGGGGTGCGTGGCATTAAGCCAGAAGCAGAGTGAAGTTGGTCTTCTCTCAAGCTTGACCCGCGTGAGGTCACTGCGGAGAGTCACCTTGCTCCTTGGTCAGATCAGTGACTTAGATGTTGGGGAGGGGAGGGGAGGGGAGGGGAGGGGAGATAGATCACCCACAGTGACGCACTGCAAGGAATCTAGAGGGCGTGTAAATATCAACTCAGGCAGGTGACTATGTGTGCACGCATGTGCACACGCTCAAATGTGCCTGCTTGACAGGAAAATGGGTGTTTTCAGGGCGACCCCACCCTGTGCTCTGAACACCACTGTCTCATGCAGCAGCCACCACAAAGTCACCTGCCGCCACCGCTGCCACCCCCGGGCCCTCCTTGTCATGACGCCCTCACACTGAGCCCAGATACACACTGTCTCCTTTCCACGACCCCTTGACGGGCTTTGGGCACAGCTACAAGAAAAGTAACTCGTTCAGGGGACCCAGGAAGGGAAGTGGGGAGGAGGAAACCGGCCGAGCTGCCTCTCCACACCCACCCTGTGCTCGGCCAGTCGGTGCTGCACGGGGTGTCTCCAGCGCCACAACCCTGGATGCCTAAAGTCTGTTCGGGCATTCTAGATCTATGTCCTTTCTCAGGGAGACACGAGCTACACTGTCATCCCGCTGGAAGTGTGGCCCCAGTGGCAACATTTCAACCAGAAAGAACTAGGTTCATCACCCGGATGGTACAAGAGATGCCCATTGTATTAAATATTATAGGGCATGTATCTAAATGCACGGTAAGTTTAAGGGCCTGTTTAAACTGTCAGTCTGCTCCTGTTATTTGACATATTTATTTATTGTTTAACTAAATCAGCTTTACATATTCTTTTTGGACCTTTCTTAATCTCAAAGGCTGAATTCCAAAGCCAACATATTTTAATACATTCTTCCTGAAGGGGGAAAATATGTTTTCTTGCCAAAATATTTTCAAGCTCTCAGCAATGACTCAGAAGCTGGGTTTACACACCGGATCCGTTCCTAAAACTGTAGCCTGGCAGCTGAGGGTGTAGCTAAGTCATAGTGCCCACCTGGTGACAAGTGTGTGTCCCAGCGCCAAAAAGAAAACAAGAAACACTGTAAATCTGAGGGTCTCGTTTGCTTCCCGGGCTCCGTCCCTTATGTTAACTCAGCACTGTCTAAACTGAGCTGATTTGTGAAAACTGTTAGGCTTGAAACAAAGTGAGTGAACACTGAGTGTTGCCCACATGCCTCAAATGTCCCCCACCTCATCAGTCACCTTGAGCTCTGTGTCACAGGCCCTGCCCAAGCCCTCTCCCAGGCCATACTCCCTCATGAACTGAACTCAGCAACTGATAGCGCACGCCTTTCATCCCAGCACTTTGGGGCAGAGGCAGGCGGAGCTCTGAATTTGAGGCCAGCCTGGTCTACAGAGCGAGCTCCAGGACAGCCAGGACTACACAGAGAAACTCTGTCTGGAAAAAACTGTGTTGCACGCCGGTGGTACATAGGTCCTTCTACTAGATAAGAAGCACATGAAGAACACAACGCCAGGTGACCAATGACGTAAATAGCTTTATGTCAAACATTTGCGTTATTGAACCCAACGCAAAATATTACAGATGTTTAAAGATGACCCGTATGTTGTGTGTATGCACTTTGCCTGCTTGCATATATGTACGCCCGTGTGCCTACGGTGCCAACAGAGGCCAGAAGGAGGGGGCATTGGACATGAGCTGCCTCATAAGCACTGAGAATTGAACCCAGGTCCTCTGGAAGAGAAGCCAGTGCTCTTAGCCAGTGAGGTATCTCTCCAGACTCTACTACATATTTTTAAGACTAAGTGAGACTTGAAATAACCTTCACTAGCAGGTTACAGCTTTTGGCTACATCCCTAGACGCACACTAGCCACCCACTGTCCTCCACAGTGACCTTTCCAAAATCCTACCCTGTCACATAGGCAGATGCATCAGGACTCGTGGTCCCCAGCAGGGGGCAGAGTTGTGGAAGTCTGAGCCTTCTGGTTGAGCCTCCGGGAGGAAATGTGTTACTAGGGGTAAACCTTGCAGTTTTATAACCCACCCAACTTCCTGTTTGTTCTCGTTTCCTATCTGTCAAGAGAGGAGGGGTCCCCCTGTGCCTTCCAATCCATGACAGTCTGGACACCTTCAAACTGTGGATCCAAAAAGCCCTCCCTCCCTTGAGTGTCTTCTGCTCAGGAATTTGGTCACAGGGAAGAAAAGCAACCAAACCGATTACTCTGTCTCCTAAAAGGCGTGCTCCAGACAGTCATGCAGATGGCTCCCCGTCCCCACCACTGGCCAGAGCTCCCCAGCCTGAGCATCGAGCATTGCATTCCTCTGCCCCCCCCAATCCCAAGCCTCCCCTCGGTCCCTTCTCCTGTTTCAGGTGCTTGTTGAATCTCGGCCACAAGATGGTATCTTAGTAGGTATGCACGCACACAGCAAGGCTGCACCTCTCAGGAACAGGCCAGGGTACCCTGCTCAGCAGGACCATGAACAGACCACGCATCCCCGCCTGCAAGTCTAAGCCCTAAGAACGCGCACGCGCACCCGTCCAGCTCAACGGTCCTCACACATGGCTCTCTGAGCCGCCCACACAAAGCCCTTCCTCGCAAAGTCCAACTTCTGCCTCCTCGGTCTATACTTTTAGCTGCCGCATACGAAGGGCTCGGGCTCCCTACCCACCTGGTTCTTCCTGTAGTCCTGCTGCGAGTGCCTCAGGACGCGGTAGCAGAGGCGCAGCACGTACTTGTAGGGGGCGTAGCGCTGGTCGCCCAGGTCCTCCAGCCTCAGCATCGAGCCTTCTCCCGCCTTCTCCTTGAAGGGCGCTTTAAGGATCCCAAACACCTGGAAGAACAAGAAGACCCTTCCGTTTCGATGGTCGCACGCGTGCACGCTCTGCAACCCATTTGCATTTTTAATGAATAACACGGACTTGAAAGCACTGTAAGTAAAATTAGTGCAAAGGCAGAAGGTACTTACTGGTTGTTAGTCCTGAATGATAAATAAAACACCATCGAACCAAAAGCCCAGTGCTCTCAAGAGTACCCAGTCAACAAGTCCACTGCATCAATGGCATGATTAATTTTATTTAGAAACTGTATTTTACTGAGATGGGAAATATGAAGGTGTTTGTATCAAGCTACATGGACATATTCAGAGGAATTAAGATATATTTCCTAGCCGGGCAGTAGTGGCGCACGCCTTTAATCCTAGCACTCAGGAGGCAGAGGCAGGAGGATCTCTGTGAGTTCGAGACCAGCCTGGACTACCAAGAGAGTTCCAGGACAGCCTCCAAAGCCACAGAGAAACCCTGTTTCGAAAAACAAACAAACAAAAAAGATATATTTCCTATATGCTTTTATTATTCTGCTATTTTTCTGTGATTTTCCAAAATCAAAATATTATTTTTAAAAAGGCATGTTTACTTTTTACCTGAAGCTTACAACGGGTAATGGCTTCCAAATGTCACTCTTACCTCATTTTAGGCAAAAGGTAGAAAGGCTGTAGGTGCCAGAAGAGGACATTGGTAGGAGAGAGTCCTTTGTGTGTGCCTGAGAGGCTAACACTGGACACAAATGAGCAAAATGGACTCAGTAGGTTGTATATACAAATGCATATGTATGCATGTACACACAATAATAATAATATTAATAATATTTGGTTGTGAGCCTAGCCTTTAACGGCTGAGCCATCTCTCCAGCCCAATAATAATAATAATAATAAGGACTCAGTAGGCTGTATATACATAGGCACATGTATGTATGTACATACCATAATAATAAAGACTCAGTAGGTTGTATATACATATGCACATGTATGCATGTACATACAATAATAATAATAATAAGGACTCAGTAGGTTGTATATACATATGCACATGTATGCATGTACATACAATAAAAATAATAAGGGAGAGATCATGGATTGGGAGGACAGAGAAGTTAGAGGGGGAGAGGGTAGGAAGGCAGATGTGATAAATGTAGTCGGTGTTTATGTGTGACGTTCTTAAAAATAAAATTATTTTTGAAAAGAATTTTATGTTCCCTGAACCTTGAATTTTATATTATGAGATAGATTGGGCGCATCAGTTAATAGATCAAAATTCACTCATAGTCCTAAAAGTTCCTGAAATCAAATGCTTTATTAATTTGCTGATGACAGAAAGACTTTGTCCCTTAGACCTGTGACTTTATTTCAGAAAAGCACTGTCTTCAGACAACCTATAAATACCATCTGACAATGGGTCTCCAGTTTTTCCTTTCCCAACTCAGCACAGTATGTTAATTAATGTTAATTATTAATTAATGTAATTTTTGTGTTTTCAATTGTCCATATGTGGCTCATACAGAAGTTAATTGTTTTTGGTAGCAAATAAAACAATAAAAAGAAGATGTGACTGCAGTAAAGTCCATGCAGGTTACTGGAAAGTAGATTATTTTCTGGTATGCTATGCACTTCAGAGATCTGGACTGGATTGCTGTCTTCTTAGAGCAGATGGAAGAGGGAGAATGGTTCCAAAGTCACTTGGAAATTTGTTTCTTCAGATGCTCTGACCACACTGGTATTTTGGAGATGTGTGGTGGGTATCTCTAAGCTACCCTCAAACAGTCCCTAACTTCTGCCATCCGTGTCCCTGTGGAATTCTCTCTCTGCTCCTAACCAATCACACAGAACTTATGGATATGGGATCTAGGGTGACGTTTTAAAGACTATCTGTAAGCATTATGGCTCGGATGGAAAGGTATTCTGGCACTCGGGAGCCAAGGAATACTGAGTGTTGCAGTCTCACCCAAACTTCTTTCAAGAGATTTATTGGGAGGGAAGAATCCAGGAGAGTGGCTGCCCTCTGCCAGGCTGGAAAAGGACAGTCACAAGCTGAACAGGCAGAGGGTTTATATAGGGCTTCTTAGGGGTGGAGTTTTCCAGGGAGAAGATTTTGGGGCGGTGGGAGGGGGGATTGGTCAGATTTCAGTCCCTGAGCTCAGACTGGCTAGATCTCCTGCTCAGGAATTGGTTGGTTTTCTGCTCAGGGTCAGGGTCAGATTTGGCTCTGGTTTCAGGGCCAAAGTATGTTCCATTCTCTGGTCCTTTTTAGCCTTTTGGCTCTAGTGTTAGGGGCAGGGTGCATTTCTTTCACTGGCTCTGATTCCAGGGGCAAAGTGTGTTTCTTTGGCACTGGTTTCAGGGCCAGGGTGCATTTCTTTGGCTCTGGTTCCAGGGACAAAGTGTGTTTCTTTCTCTGGTCCTTTTTAGCCTTTTGGCTCTAGTTTCAGGGTCAGGGTACACTTCTTTGGCTCTGGTTGCAGGGACAAAGTGTGTTCCTTTGACTCTGCTCAGGGTGTGTTTCTTTGGCTGGCTGTCTTTCCCTACACTATAGCTATGTCTAGGTGCCCTTTCTCTTCTCTGGGATCCCTCATTTTTAAGGCAAATGTCTTGGTTTGGAGGTTGAAGCTCATCACAGAGAGAAAAGCACAGAAGAAGCTCCCAGCAGCTGCTCTCACGGCATCCACAGCCAAGCACAGAGAGCACCCAATGCCATGCTCAGATCTTTGTCCATTCTCTGCAGTCTAGGATCTTCACCCAGGGGATGGGCTGGCCTAGTTAATGAGTCTTCCTAAATCAACTAGCATAAGTCAGGATAATCCCTTATAGACTCAGCAGCCTGTCTCTCGGTGATTCTCAAATCATCAAGCTGCAGCTAACACAATCACCAATGGGAACTAACACAACCATCACCGGAAGCTAACCCTAACCATCACCAGAAGCTAACCCTAACCATCACCACAGGAAGCTAACACTAACCATCACAGGAAGCTAACACAACCATCACAGGAAGCTAACCCTAACCATCACCACAGGAAGCTAACACAACCATCACCACAGGAAGCTAGCACAACCATCACAGGAAGCTAACACAGCCATCACCACAGGAAGCTAACACAGCCATCACCACAGGAAGCTAACACAACCATCACCACAGGAAGCTAACACAACCATCACAGGAAGCTAACACAGCCATCACCACAGGAAGCTAACACAATCATCACCACAGGAAGCTAACACAACCATCACAGGAAGCTAACACAGCCATCACCACAGGAAGCTAACACAACCATCACCACAGGAAGCTAACACAACCATCACAGGAAGCTAACACAGCCATCACCACAGGAAGCTAACACAAACATCATCACAGGAAGCTAACACAGCTATCACCACAGGAAGCTAACACAAGCATCACAGGAAGCTAACACAACCATCACCACAGGAAATGCTCTATCTTGAAGCAGGCTTGTACCAAACTCTATGAGCCATTGAGGAAGTGTATTTCTCTTCAGTCCACTCTTGAGGTGACAGTAGCCCTACAGAAAGTATTGAATGCCTCTGAGAAAAAACTACCCACAGACATTTAAAACTCACAGAAACTGAAATAAGTGTCTAGGCATCATTTGTTATGCAGCAAGGCATAACTGATACTGTAACTCAAAACACAAAATAGGCAAGTTTGGTTCATGAAGCAACTCACCTGTGCCAGGATGTTTTGTTCCCTCATTAGTTTCTGCCGTTCCCGGTTTGGCTTGGTGATGACCACATCCAGAACATCCTGTCCATTGTTAGTCACATCAGCCACAAAGAAGATGAGGTCTTCCAACAGTTTAGTCACAAACCTATCACGGAGGAAAGACGTGACAATTCTGGACCATCAGAAATTACGTCTGAGAACTGAAGCACTAAGAAAGTTAAACTGCTTTTAACAATACATACTTAATCAACACAAATATAATATCTAATGCAATTGCTACTTAATTTTGACAATATTTCCTACCCAGGTCCTCCTGCCCTCCATTCCAACTCCAAATCTAATCAAAAATTGCAAGTGGTTACTAAATAAAATCCCATGAGTCTCAAGGACAAATGGATGTGGAAGACGGCACAACTGTGATTTTAATGTCTCCCGAACATCACTGTCAAAGCAAACCTCTGACACCAGGCAGCATCAGCAGGCTAAAGTCAGACAGGATCCCACTGATTCTGCTCAGCGAACATTTAGCTGCAACGCAAATATTCTCCCTTGCTGACTCCACAACTGGAATTGGGTGTTTAGACATGAAGAACAAAAGGTTCGGGTGTGTCGTGACTCTAGATTACTCTTAAAGATGGTAACTGTCAATAGGATGAGTAGATCATTAATGTTTCTTTTTATTATATATATATATATATCCATATATATATATATATATATATATATATATATATATATATATATAATGTTTAGCACAAGGAGGCCAGAAGAGGACATCAGAACCCCTGGAGAATCCCCTGGAGCTGGAGTTACAAATGGTTATGAGATGCCATGTGGGTGTTGGGAACTGAACCTCTGTCCTTTGGGAGAATGGCAAATGCTTTTAACCACTGAACCATCTCTCCAGCCCAAGAATATTAAGTCTTGATGGAGTGTCTCTATACATTATTCCTAATACACAGATGATGCGGGATAATGCTCTTGTACACTGAAAAGATCTGTCGCTTGTATTGATTTAATAAGTCGCTAATTGGCCAGTAGCCAGGGCAGGAAGTATAGGTGGGGCTACCAGACTAGGAAAATTCTGGGAAGAGGAAAAGCAGAGACGTAGTCACCAGCCAGACCCAGAGGAAGCAAGGTGAGAATGCCTCACTGAGAAAAGGTACCAAGCCACGTGGCTAAACACAGATAAGAATTATGGATGAATTTAAGACAAAAGAGCTAGCTGGTAATAAGCCTAAGCAAAAGGCCAAACAGTTTATAATTCATAAAAGCCTCTGCATGTTTATTTGGAATTGAACGACTGCAGGACCAGTCAGGACAGAAACTTCTGTGTATCTACAGAGGTGCCTCTGGCTATAATGAGGTTGGTAGCAAAGACACCAAGCTTCCTCTTTACTCTTTACTCATGTGCCAAGGGAAAAAAAAAACAAGATAAACGACAACAAAACCACCTGCTAAACTCAAACTTAGTGCAACTCCATATTGACCAGTTATCACCCCATAACTCATGCAATCTTGCTAACTTTCTTCTAATAATTGATTTCCTTTGTGACTTAGTTGAAAGCAATTCCTCCAACTTCAAACATGCTACCCTGGAGGGAGGAGAGGGCTCATGAGACTAAGGAAGTAAAACAAAACCTCACATGTCTGGGAAGCTGAGGCCTGCAAGGCTCTCCAGACTACTCCCAGGGCTCTAGGACTGTGGGAGATGCTGGGGAGACGGGCTCTGGGGTCCATGGAGCTGCCTCCACGGAGCGCCCAATGCAGATGCCATGAGACATTGTCCCTGCTGGGGTAGCTGTCAGCGATGCCGCTGCCTCCTGAGTCATCCACGCTCCTGTAAGTCACCCCTCACCCATATTCCGGTTATTAGCTCTCCAGGTGAGACATGGCTGGTATCATTTTGGTCTGACACAGGTTCCCTATCTGAGGTGAATATCTGTCTCCTCACATGCCCCTAAGAAAATCCATGCAACAGACTTCCTGTCGGATTCAACAAATTTGATAAGATATATATTTATATATTATGTATTTTAAAGGAACTCTAAAAGGTCATCTGATGGGGGAGTCCTTCTGTGTATATATTTGTCTGATTGGTTGATAAATAAAGCACCGTTGGCCCATAGGGAAGCAAGGTAAGTGGGACTAGGAGTCGGGGAGGATTCTGGGAAATGTAGTCAAGAGGAGAGAGTTGCCATGTGATCCTGGGAGGAGAGGGCACGTCAGGGTGGCGTCCTCGGAAAGATAAGTCTTACAGAAATATATATTAGTAGTTACGGGCTAATGATTAAGTCAGAGCTAGCCATTAAGAAACCAAAACAAACGTCCAACAGCTTCATAATTAATACAGCGTTCCTGCGTGTTCATTTGGGACTGACGCGGCTCTGGGGACCAGGCTGGCGGGAAGAATGCACATCACAGCCATCCTAACTCAGCAGAGAGCAAGGATGATGCAGCAGTGCTGGGGGGGGGGGTGGGAGGGGCCAAACCGAAGCTGCGAGGGCTCGGGTGGAGAAGGGTCCCCCTGGCAGAAAGCCCCAAAAATCCCCGCGTGGGCTGCTGCAAGGCAGATGCTGAAGGGACAGGAGGCGCCCTCCCAGCTGCGGTCACAGTGACTCACGCCTCAGCTCGCCACGGGTTCTCACCCCCCCCACCCCCCAATGTGGACTGGCGGAGAGGAGTCAGGCAGAGGCCACGCCAGCGGACAGAAAATGGATGAGCGCAGAGAGAAGACGCAGTAACATCCCCGCTGAGGAAAGCCCACATAGTTAAATCCCAAAGCTCCCAGAAAACTGATATTAGGGAAAACAGCCATCAGGCTGAAAAAATAAGAAGGCCGATTCATCGCCAATAAGACCCAAGTAATGAAGCCATTCCTAAGTGGCATTTACATGAGTGTGTGGTCAGTCCTCAACAGATAAAGAACTTACCACTGTGTGTGTGTGCGTGTGTGTGTACATATATATCTATAAAATTTAAAACAGTAGATATGAATGAAGAGTAGGTGGGTAGGCCAAGAACCAGCAGAAATATGAGCAATAAAAAGGATATATAAAGCCAGGCGGTGGTAGCGCACGCCTTTAATCCCAGCACTCAGGAGGCAGAGGCAGGCGGATCTCTGTGAGTTCGAGGCCAGGCTGGGTCGACAGCCTCCAAAACAATACAGAGAAACCCTGTCTCGTAAATACCAAAAAAAAAAAAAAAAATCATCTCATAAAAGTCCAGGCTGTTAGAAAAACTGGCAATAAGACAGTATCAAAAGGATACAGACAATAGCACATAGAGGTTGTTTTAAAAGCGGATTACAAAAGGGAAGTTAAAGAGTTCGAGGGCATCATTGGCCACATAGAGAGTTCAAGGACACCCTGGGCTGTATGAGACCTGGTCTCCAGAAAGAAAGGAAGGGGGGACCGGAGAGAGGAGAGGAGATACAGAAGGAAGAAGGGCGGGAGGAAAGGAAGGAGGACGACACGGAGGGCTGGGGAGGAAGAGGAGGAGGCAGGGAGAGGAGGAGGGGTGGAATACGGCGGGAAAGGAGAACGGGAGCCGGCGAGGTGCGTCATATGACGCGTTAAGAGCCGCCACTCAGCTCTGTTTGCTGCATGAAGACACGGCGGTCTTCCTAAGGAGCTGGGTTTGGTGGCAGCAAGTGTAGCACGGCCTGAACAAACGCTCTGCCACCGAGCCGCGTCCCCAGACCCCAGCTGCATGAAGAGACGGGCACAACGGCCTTTGCTTCTGCCGCTAACCTGGAGCACAGTCTGTGTGGCCAGCCCCTGGCACTGTCTCAAGAGCTCAGTCTCACTGAACTGGCTACATCTGTGCACAGCTGTGACAGCAGACCCTCCGTGGACAAATCAGGGCCCTTCAGAAGTGTAGCGGGGCACAGAGACCGTAAGACAGGCGCGCAGGGCCTTCTCGGGCGCCGGGTAGCCATTGACAACCTCAAGGCCCTCCCCTCGTCACGGGGCACACACTTCTGATGCTCTGTTTCCTTGGTGCGGTCACGTGGAATACAAACAGAAGATTCAAATGAAAACATCTAACACTGAGGATGCTGAGGCTGACACAGGAACTGCATCCACAGAGTCCCTTCCTGGCGTAACTAATGGAGGTGAGGGCGAGCAGGAGGAGAGAGAGATCCAATGGCGCAGGCATTCGGAGGCAGGTGCGCCATGTTCTCAAACCCTCCCTTTGACTTTGGCTTTGAATAAAAAGAATAGCTAATAATAATGTCATTCTCCATGGGGCGAGGGGGGGGGCGGGGTCAGGGCTGCCAGTCATTCACAGAAAGAATTTTCTATTAAATTCTAAAGCTGAGGGACTAAGAGCCCATTCGCCACTCTGCAGCGTGGACTGCATCGGGATGAGGGATAAATCAGCAAATGTAACTTGTTCCCAGTTCTCAGACACCGTCTCCTTGCTGTTATTGTCCACTAAAGCCGCGGAGAGAGGAAGAGGCAGGGGAAATTAAAATAAATATAAATATACATATATATGGTCAAGGGTCCTCCTACTCCACTGTCCTCCTGAGACATGTCTAGAGGGGCTGAGTCCCCTCCAACAGGGACTGGGGAAGAATGGCCTGTGGAGAGGAGCCGACACTCAAGGGATACTTGGAGACTTCTTAGAGAAGCGTGTGACTTCCTGTCAGTGCAGGAGATGGACAGACAGAATTGGATTCATTGAGAGGGAAACTCCCCACTTGCACACTGAAATCCATTTCTGCTGTGAGCCAGCTCTGGTCTTTAATCTTCCGTAGCTATACGAGTGGCAGGTTTCTGCTTCCGGCCTTCGTTCATTGGCCACCACGGTGGGGTATAATGGGAGTCGTCAAACGCAGGTTCCCACAGGGAAAGCAGTGGTAAGGACAGAGAGGGAGCTGAGAACCATTTGCCTGTCCGCATACTGACAGTGTTTAATTAAAAGGTATATTGTGTGGTGTGTGTCTCAAGAATTTATGCATTTAGTGACAGAACACTCTCAGAGTGTTAAGGTGGGCTTATCCGTCCGTTTCCTTCTTACTCAATCCAAAACCTAGAGTTATGGACACCATCACACATACGTACAGTTTGTTCCTGATCCTGGCTAAGTGCTATCCCATTGTATGAGCACAGAGCAGTTTTATCATCCTTCAGCTATAGCGAGCATGATGGCCTTCCGTTGGGGTGTGTAGACAAAGCTGGACATTTCTGCCTTTCTGTCCTGGGGATTCTTTTGAACAGATGTTCAAGAGTGCCCAACTGAGGAGCGAAGCCAGTGAACCACACCGCACCGCCTTCTCTGACTTTGTCGTGGAACATTATCTTAAGATGTGTTACGTTCGTTTATGCTGTGCAACGTTTGTTTAATGATGCAATGATGTGTGGCATTCTTTCATGATGCGTCTGTTTAACTCTGTGAAGCTGCATTACTTCACCTGCCTTAAAAGCATCTGACCGGTCTGATAAAGAGCTGAACGGCCAATAGTTAGGCGGGAGAAAGGGCAGGCGGGGCTGGAAGGCAGGGAGAATAAATAGGAGGAGAAATCTGGGGGAGCAGATGGAGAAACAAGAAAAGGAGGAGAGGCGAACTTGAGGGCCAGCCACACAACCACACAGCAAGACATGGAGCAAGAAGTAAAGGAAGACACGCAAAAAACAAAACAAAACAAAACAACAACAACAACAACAAAAAACGGGGAAAGGACAAAGCCTCGAGGCAAAAGGTGGATGGGCTAATTTAAGATTAAAAAAAAAAAAAGCTACAAACAAGCCAAGCTAAGGCCGGGCATCCATAAGTAAGAATAAGACTCCGTGTGTTACTTATCTGGGAGCTGGGAGTCAGGCACCCTACCCCCTCTGAAAATGCAAAGAAGGAAGAGAAAAAAATTTTTAACTACATTTTCCATTCATCCCTGTCTAGACTGTTTGCCGAGGGGCTGCCATCACGATGGCCGCAGGTGGCAGCTGCAATTAATGTGTCAGTGGCTCCTTATTGGTGGAAGTCTGTTAGCAGGTCATGAAGAGGGAAGACATCTTTGCTCTGAGATCCTGAGAGCAGCCAACCGTCGATCGCATGACTGGATCCCCCACTTACTATTTGTGCAATTGTACCAGGTGGGGTTTAACCCCCATTTCCTTTAGGCAGAATGGGAATAGCTACTGAAGGGCTGTGTGAAGGCTTAGGGCACGTGATGGAGACACAATGATTCTAGTTACCAGTAGCCTTCTTTTCCTCGCATATTTATAAATAAATGAACAGTCAGTCAAGGGTGCAGTTTCTCTGAGTGAACAACACAAGCAGGGGATACACTTCACTTTTTTTCTGATACTACATGTTTGATCAGTCTGTGGTATCAGAGCTGAGAAATGTGTCGTGAATCCAGGAAATACAAAACTCTACGCCTAAACACCAAATCAAGTAGGGCCCTGTGAGTTTTTAAAAGACTTTCAAAAATAGAGCAGAGAGGAACTGAAATCATTTATTTTCAAACCAAGATAAAATGGAAAAAGTAAATACTCCATCTGGCAATTTTTAGTTTTTTTTTTTTTTTTTACTTAGGTGTGTGTATCTGTATATGTGCCTGTGAGTGCAGCGCCTGTGGAGGCCAGAGGAGGGCGCCAGATCCCTACAACCTAAAGTTACAGGCACTTGTGAGCCTGCACCCCCCCACACACACCCAGGTCAACGGTTGACTCTCAACGATTCAGTGTCACATTTGGCATCCACTCACCTCCTCTCATTCTGAGTGATGCTGCCATTCTCCAGTTTTTTCACCGTGGTTGCCAGAACTTTGTTGGCATCATTGGCGAAGTCTAAGTCTCGCACCTCAGAGAGTGGGACGCACACAATGGCAAAGGCTTCTTTGTCTTCCTTAGTCTGGCAGGTTCCAATCTGAAATATGTGTTTCCATTAGACAGCAATGTTCTCTAGAGACCACGGACCTCAGTAGTAAGATACACTGGGTGGGTGCAGACAAGACCGAGAAACTCCAGAAAACACCATCCACAACGAATGGCTTCGGGGACAAGACAGCTTTCCATGCCCACTTCCTGCCCTGATCTTTTTTTTTCTTAAGTTTTTTCAAGACAGGGTTTCTCTGTAGCTTTGGAGGCTGTCCTGGAACTCGCTCTTGTAGACCAGGCTGGCCTCGAACTCACAGAGATCCGCCTGCCTCTGCCCCCCGAGTGCTGGGATTAAAAATGTGCGCCACCAATGCCCAGCTTTCCTGCCATGTTCTTGAAGTGCCCCCAAAGAGGGTTCTTTCACACACTATCTCTCCGTCCCAGATACTTCCAAGCAGAGAAGATGCCCCTGGAATCCGCCTATGCCTTTCTGATGTCTTCATCCCGCCCTCCTCCATCCCACCCACAGACCTGCCGCGGCCACCCAGGTCAGAGACCTGAGCAGCTGGCAGATGTTCGCTCCCACGAAATCAGCTGCAACCAGTTCTGGAACCCCACAAGATGGACTGCCGGTCACTCTCAGTCCTGTGAGCACAGCAGGCGAGCTAGCCCCAGAACACTTACTTTCAGCATGACGGGCCTCTCTTCCTCCGTGTCTATGGGGATGCTGGTGCTCGTCACCCAAGTATTGGTGCACAAATGCCTTAGCCGCACATAGGAGTTCCTAGAAGCAAATGATGCGTAAGGGCATGGAGGGCTTTATGTGGTGATATCTTGCTTGCACGTTTATTTGGCTAGCTCTCTCTTAATTAGTAACCCATAACTATTAATCTATGTGTTTCTATATGTGTCTTATCTTACCAGAGAATGCCTAGACCTGTTATTCCTTTGGTGGCTACATGGAGTCTCCCTGGTGGCTCCTCTTTTCCCCAGAATTCTCCTTGTCTGGAAGCCCCACCTATATTTCCTGCCCGACCAATCAGTTTTATCATCAACCCGTAAGAACGATATATGTACAGAAGGATAATCCTCCACCAGGCTGGCAAGAGGGCTCAGAGGACAAAGGGGCTTGCTACAATGCAGCGATGAGGACCTGAGTTCAATCCCCAGAACCCACTGAAGATGGAAGGCAAGAACCAACTCTACAGTACTGTCCTCTGACCTACACACACAGACAATACTATTTTTAATTAGCCCCCATTGCATATTGACATACTCAGCAGATCCATGTGTGAAATGTACATTAAATGTCATAGACTCGTAACCTTCTCAGGATCTGTCTGGAATAAGAAACTTCTTAGATTCAGACTTCTCTGGAGTCCGAGGCGTCACTTCCTGGGCCATCAGTGTCACCACCAGGAACCTTGTCACTGGTCCACTTGGGGTGTGGTCAGCAGTGACTAGTTTACCCTGTCTCCAACAGCTACTAACCTAAATGTACTCACAGCCCCTGAATCACGAGGCTGCTGTGGCCACTGAGGGCAAACCTAGAGTTGATAAATAGATACTCAGTTCTGAGAATCCAGGCAGGCACATTCCCAATGAGAGGCTGAGCAGGCAGCTGCTTGGGTTCTAACTCAGCCCTCACACCACAATCTCCTAGTGATGCTTCTCAGATTTCTGGATTTTGTTCTGGCCTTGCTATTTAATTCAGAAGCACTGACTCTAGGTTCTAAGTAAGAAGATTAAATCAATCGTCGGGGCGACAGGGAGAGGAGTGGAGGGGGCAGGAGAACAAGGAAGAAGTCTGGTGACGTGTACAGGAAGACACCATCGTGAAGCCATCACTGTGTATGCTGACTTACATTTTAAGACTTCAAATTGTGTGTACATCTCTGAGTGCAGTGCCCATAGAGGCCAGAAGAGGGCACTGGATCCCCTGGAGTTACAGGAGGTTGTGAGCCACCCTGTGTGGGTACTGGGAACTGAACTCAGGGCCTCTAAAAAAGCAGTATGAACTCTTAACCACTGAACCATCTCTCCAGCCTTAAAAAAAATAACAGTAATAAAGAAGAAAAGAAAATATTTGTGGTGTGAAGAATCAATAATGTGTACTACATAAGGTGTCTACCAAACACACACACCCAAGCTTGTGTGGTGCCTGGAAGGCTGGCAGGTGCATTTCAACCAGGAGCTCACAGGACTCACACCCTGTGTCCTCCGAGAGCAACGGCTACACATTTGACCACGTCTTGAGTCGAGAGTAACAAAAATTATCTGTTCAGACTGGAGAAGGCACCTAGAACGCCATTCCACACTGCGTCTTCTCCACCTCATCTTTTATTCCAGTTATTTCTTCAACACGAGTGCACGGCGCCATTACAACAACAAGCCTATCGCTTAGCCTAAGGCTAAGACATAAACATGCCATAAAACCTACAGTAAACATTTTACGGTCAAAGAGGACACACAACAGTAAACACCTCAGGGAAACTCATCATGAAGGTCCTCGCTGTGTCGTGGAATATTATTTTAAGCTGTGCTGCTTTCATTTATGCTGTGGAACATCTGTTTAATGGCGTAAAGATGTGTGGCTTCTGTTTATTCTGCACTTGTTTAACTCGGAAGCTGTGATCCTTTGCCTGTCTAATACACCTGATGGTCTAATACAGCGCTGAAGGTTGAGGCGGGAGAAAGGGCAGGAGTGGCTGTCGGGAGAGAGTATAGAGAGGAAGCAAGCTAGAAAGAGACATCAGGGGCCAGCCACTCAGCCACACGGCCAGCCACGGTGTAAGAAGGTAAGTAAGACAGACACAAGTAGGGAAGATAAAAGCCCAGAGGGAAAAAGGTAGCTGGGACCATTTCAGTTAAGAAAAGTTGACAAGAAAGAAGCCAAAGCTGGGAAAGTTATAAGTAAGAAAAAATCTGTGTGTGATTTTTTGGGAGCTGGGTGGCCAGCCCTCCCCCAAAGAGCCCAAACAGCAAAGAGTATTACGAGTAAAAAAACCAACAACATTGCTCATTCACAAAAGTAGATAAAATACACGATGAGTTCCAACATAAAAGCAGATAAAATGCACGGTGAGCTTCAATATCTAGAATAGTAAGCACCTAAAAAAAACACCTGTTTTAGCACCCAGCACCCTCCACACTGACCTAAGCAGGAGATGTTGTCTACAGCTGCTGTCTCCCCTGCTGTCCCAAGCTCTGGAAAACGGGGCCGCAGCACACTTATGTGGTGGCCAGCTCCTCTATTCTACCCTGACATTTTTCGACACAGTGAGCTTCCCTTCCTCACCACGCCTGTGTGGTGGCTCACACACTGCATGGCTTCCATGGGCTCATATGTTTGGATGCTTGGTTCCCAGTGGGTGACCTTGACAGAGGAGGTGTGTCATTGGGGGTCGGCTTTGAGGTTCCAAAAGCCTTGCCTCGTTAAAGATGGTTCTCTCTCCTTTCCATCTCTCTGCCCGGCAGTTATTGCCCAACCTGTAAGCTCTGGGCTATTGTGACCGCAGGAGCCTGTTCCCCGCCATGACGGTCACGGACTCTAACGCTTTGGAACCATGAATCTCCAAATGAAACGCTTTCTCCTACAGGGTGCCTTGGTCATGGTGTCCCTTCACAGCAATGGAAAGGCAACAAGGGCAGCTTGGAACCAGGGTAGCTGAGGTTTCAAGTTTTGTTTTTTAAGCATTTCAGAGTAGGTGTTCAAGGAGCTCTTTTGGGATGAGACCCAAGTCTAGACATGTCATTTGTTTATATTCCATATGCGCTTTAGCCATCTAGGCCAAAGATCATTTTATACAGTATTTTAAGTACACCTGCATTTTAACTATGATCCACCACACAAAGTCAGGTGTAGGATTTCCCACTCGCGGCATCATATTGGTTCTCAAAAGCTGTCACTTCTTGGTCATTTCAGATTAGATCCTTCAGATCGGGGATGCTTTCAGCCTCGATGAACCCCCTTGAGTCAACCAACAACACTACCGGGCTGCAAACTGAAGAGATGACCCAGAGCAATAACATGATCGGCAAGGATTTAGGAGCTAAATAACTCTGGGACCATGTCACAGGTGTGTGCTGGCTGCTGGGGAATGGTAGTTCGGGGAGGACTTTACATTCCATGCTCCAGGGTCAAACTCCACGTCATGAGCACAGACGGGTCAGTTAGCCTGTCCTTCTAAGTCACCGTCTCCCAAACTCTGCTGTCTGTCACCTGGGAAGTTCTCACAAACCCAAAGTCTAGGCTGCATCACACACCAGTGTCTAGAGTGAGAATAGGCATCAGGACTGGTCACAGATTGCTAAGAGTCCATTGGGCAGGAAAGGCTGGGAGCCCTCCTCAAGGCCCTTGATTCAAACAGTGCAGTCTGTGGCTTGCTAGGAAATCACTCCCCCAGCCCCACCATGGACCAAGGGCTCACCATCCGTGACTGTATCAGATCCCCAAGGCTGACTTGGGGAATCACCAGGCTGAAGCACCACCATGGAACTCTGTCGTCTGAGCATAAAGGCCATTGCCGTCTTAATCAGGACAGGTATGACTGTCCCCCAGGATGGGATCTACTGATGTTCCCTCATGGGTGAGGGCAGGAAGGGGTAATTAGACCCAGCTAAGGAAACCCCTCCTTCCTGCATTTCCCAACTACGTATAGTCTCAAGTTCTAGAATGCACGGTAGGGAAAGGTTAGCTGAAGAGGGGGTGCCATCAGTACGTACAGCACGGGGACACTGTCATCCACGCTGGAGCCAAGCCTTTCAGTGACACAGCTGTTTGGGGGTCACCCACATTCCTGTAAAGACCCTTCACTAAGCTCCTGTAAGTAAACCCAATAAACTCACTGGCTCACTCGCTGGCCTTGAATGGAATCTTTCCTTTGATCTGTTGTCAGGGGCCCTGTGTTTGGAAACATTCGTTCGCAACCCTCCAGGAAAGTATCACACAATAAGAGTTTAAAGTTTGGGAAATACTGCATTCCATACGGGAATCCTCTGGGTAACGCTTTTAAAAGATGTGGAGTCCTCCTCTCACCGAAAGACTGACCTCCACCCTCAGAAGGGCCAGGACTCATGGCTCAGATCTTTCTCAGCCAGTCTGAGAAGACCTGCTCTAACTCAGCCTCTGACCTGTGACCCATGAGAGTTACCGGGGTGAACCCAGATAATGGCTATGAAGAACCTGACATGGGGCTTGGCACATCGAAAGCATTCGAGGATTTCATACGAGGATGTAAAAGTAGCTAGTGTTAAAGGTTTATTGTTAGCTGCAAACCGTGAATGGCAGATGAATGGTATCAGCACAGAATCCTCCACAATGGGGAGAAGATCTTCATCAGCCTTTCTGAACAGCAGTAGCTAACACCGCTGTGCAAACTGAGACTTAGTAACCTCATAGCGGGTGAATGCACCTGACAGTGAGTTCTTTCTTACCACTTCCTTAAGCCAATTCTCATACACTGAATCCAAGAAAGACATCCATTTTTGCTGACTTAGATCTAAAATGAGTTAAGTCAGAGTAGTAATCAAGTAATAACAAACCACAACACATTGTAGTTTGAAAGAAAATTGCCCCCCACAGGGAGTGGCACTAGTAGGAGGTATGGCTTCATTGGAGTAGGCGTGGCCTTGTTGGAGGAAGTGTGTCAATGTGGAGGTGGGCTTTGAGGCCTTATATGCTCAAGCTGTGTCCACTGTGGCACTCAGTTCACTCCCTGCTGCCTATAGACCAAGGTGTAGAACTCTCAGCTCCTTCTTCAGCAACATGTCTGCCTGTGCCCCACCCGCCATGATGATAATGGGCTAAACCTCTGAAACTGTAAGCCAGGCCCAATGAGTTGCTTTTCTTTATAAGAGTTGCCATGGCCATGGTGTCTCTTCACAGTGATGGAAACCCTAACTAAGACACCGTACAAGAAGACCGACACTTGGCTCAAGCCAAAGCAGCAGAAAGCATGTCTTCAGGGGCTGTGTTAGCCAGCAAGGAGAAGGTAGAGACAGACTCCTATCAGGGGGTTCTCAGATCTATTCATATGTCTTTCCAGTTGTGGCTATACCAAAGAAAGCTCCTTTTTCAGCTTTCTGTTTTTAATTTGGCTCTTTTAATTGGTTCAAGTTCAAGAGTGACCTGAGCTCATGTGTTTATTGGTCTGATGATCCCATTTCTTATTTTGATGTCCCGGGACATGGTCTGCCTTGTAATTGACAGTCAGCAAACACTTCTTACCTGAACCACTAACAGAATGAACATGTAAATGAGACAGGCAGGGTATCTGATGGGTAAATGATAAAAATTTAGACTGAAAATGCTATTAGATTTATTTTTTCATTGTTGTGACCAGAGGCCACACAATTAGTAAGAATAAATGACTCCAATACTTTATTCGGGACTTCTTTGGTACCGCACCTTCCATCCGTTTATACAGATAAAATAAGCTGTGTTCATGTGCTCACATTGCTTTGCATGCATTTTCTTCACTCATGCTCCCTTCCATTGTAAAACTATATTAATAGTGTACTTTGTATTTCTACCTGTTGGGAGAGCCAGTCAAAGAAGCATCTGTTCATCCTAATTCCTTTTACTTACTTTTTCCCTTTCATTTTCTATTTCTTTTTACCTGGGAACCAGGCAGTCGGCTCTCTGAAGAGTTGTGGCGTCGAGTTCGAAAAGGGAGGCGATGTCGTTTCCGTGTGGTACGGAGACTAGCGTGTACATGATCTTCTCCCCTGTCTGGCGCTTCTTCTTTGAGGCTGGGAGCTCTCCGTCTCTCTGTTGAAGAGGTTCAGTGTTATTCGGTGCCTTCAGATTTAGCATTAGCTGCTCCAGCCAATCAGGAGATAAGGTGTGAGCTTGCCGCTCTCTCATTGGGTCACAGGAGTGTCTATTCTGAACCCCCAGAAGATCAGGGGGCACAGCCTTTGCAATGATTATGGGCAGTCACACGGCCCATGCTCCCCAGAGAGGTGGCCTAACCTGCGTATGACCTTAAACCACAATAGTTATGGCCCCCTTCTCTAGTGGTTTCATACCCATTTACAACGTGGTGATTTGACCTTCTACATTTACATCAAACACAGAGAAGAGGCAGTGTCCCAAACCCTCTAAATTCCATGGATTCAAGAAGACATACAAACGACCAACGGATATAGGGAGAGACGCTCAGCCCCACTAGTTACAGGGGAAATGTAAATCAAAGCCACTGCAGGCAGCACACTGCTAGGGACAGCGTGACCACAGTCCAGGGATAAACGGCCAAAGGGGCAGAGAAAGGGAACCCTGTGGATGGGATGTAAATTGGTGTCATTATCATGAAGACATGGGACCCAGGGATACTCCCTGTGGGCATGAGGATGTAAGAACCATGCAGGATCACATCCAAATACAAAAGCCACAATGCCTACCTCACAGAGGGACCTGAGCAAAAGCCACAGTCCCTACCTTACAGAGACACCCGTGCAAAAGCCACAGTCCCTACTTCACAGAGAGTCCTGTGCAAAAGCCACAGTCCTACTTCACAGAGGGACCTGAGCAAAAGCCACAATCCCTACTTCACAGAGAGACCTGCGCAAAAGCCACAATCCCTTCTCTACCTCACAGAGAGACCTGCTCAAAAACCACAGTCCCTACCTCACAGAGAGACAGGTACAAGAAACACAGTTCCTACCTCACAGAGAGACCCGTGCAAAAGCCACAATTCCTACCTCACAGAGACACCCGTGCTCCAGGCTGGCTGCAGAACTAGTCAAAGAGTCATCCATGTAAACAGCCAAAGACAGATAGACAGACAATAGGAAGGAAGGAGGGAGGGATAAAGGGGTTTGAAGGATGTCATTTCATTGGCCCATGAGAAGAACTTCCAGGGGTTATGTCATCCTAAACTGTGAGTGGCAGAGCGGTAGCTTTCTCTGGGGGATCCAGAAGGTAAAACCACAGCAGGGCTGTCTGCCAGTAACAGAGGCTGACTGACGGGAGGAAGAGTTTGTGACCCTCCTTCCCTTTCTCCTTCCTTCCTTCCTTCGTTCGTTCCTTCCTTCCTTCCTTCCTTCTAGACAAGGTCTCCCGAAGCAGCCCAGGCTGGCCTCAGACTCACAGCAATCCTCCTGCTTCAGCCAGCCAAATGCTGGAATTAAGAACATGGGCAAAGCCGGGCGTTGGTGGCGCACACCTTTAATCCCAGCACTTGGGAGGCAGAGGCAGGCAGATCTCTGTGAGTTCAAGGCCAGCCTGGTCTACCAAGGGGAGTTCCAGGACAGGCTCCAAGACAATACAGAGAAACCCTGTCCTGGGGGGGGGGGGGGGGGAAGAACATGGGCAAACACTCCCAGCTGGAGTTCCTTCCCAAAGACAAAAGCTCCGATGTTAAAGGCAGAGAGGAAGGCAGCAGAGGGAGGATAGGTCAGAGGGGGCCATAAGCGGAGGGAGAGACAAACCAGGAAGAACGAATTGGAACTTTGTTTCATTTCACAGTGGCAACAAGCTGCTAAACGGCTTGGGGAATTCCACAAGGCTATTGGTGCCCAGAGAATGACAGACAGGGTGAGCCATGTGCGAGCATGCTCCCAACCCCACTGTGACACTGAGGATCAAGATTCCAACACACGGAACTAGGGCAACACACACTTCGGGCTTACGTGGTTTGGGCAGATAGGGAAGGTTATAATTAAAACACAGCTGAGCTCAGGGAAGTAAGTTCCTATCAGCTGAATTGAACCGCGTTTTTGAAGACAAGACAAGCTTTATTGGCAGGAGAGGATGGCCAATGTGCAGGGTTCCAGCAGCGTCTGGTGTAGAGGACCAAAGAAGTTGCCAGCATCTTTGGAAGAATACCGTATCCCCAAAAGAAGTACATCATCTGATTTCCTGACTGAGCCTTCCCTCGGCATATAATTTAGCTTTTGATGTGCATACTCTGGGGTGGAAATGTGCTAACCAACACAGCTATTCAGATCTACTTAGGAACTGAAAGCTGGCAGTATTTGCATGGTCTGTACATTTAGTGGGGGTTCAGCCCTCCGTTCACCCCACCTTTGAGATGATTTTTGTAGACTTACAAGAAGATTTCAGATCCAGATTCCTAGAGATGGCCTCCTACATGGCTCTCCTTGGTAATGTCTGCCTATGGGGCCCAATCAGAGTGGTCAGGGACCTCCCTGTACTGAGGCATTGCACAGGGAGCTTCCGACAGCAAGGGCCACACACAGTTGTGAGATTATTCATGCACAGGAATTTTCTTCATGTCCAAACTGTTTTCCAAGGACCAGTGGGAAGGATGGGGAAATACAAAAGCACATTCCATGTGTTCTGTGTAGTCACAACTCTCGAATACTATGAATAATTAGCAGTGGCTTGTCTCAATTAACCCTAATCAGTGAGCTAATGGCTCTGCCCCACTCCAGCCCCCACTCCCCAGGGAGGCGCACTTCGGGACACCCCAGAATACCTTTGTGGTGACTCATAGTGAGTCACCGAATTTTAGGTCAAACATCACATGGCCTGTACTCTTGGAGCCTGAGACATGCTGGGAGAAGCTGGGACACTGGGAGAAGCTGAGACAAGGTGGGAGAAGCTGAGACTGCTGGGAGAAGCTGAGACAAGGTGGGAGAAGCTGAGACATGCTGGGAGAAGCTGAGACTGCTGGGAGAAGCTGAGACACTGGGAGAAGCTGAGACATGCTGGGAGAAGCTGAGAAATGCTGGGAGAAGCTGAGACTGCTGGGAGAAGCTGAGACAAGGTGGGAGAAGCTGTGTCTGTCTTTTGGAACTGAGGTTCAGGCTGCAGGAGGCCGCTGTGTCACCTGTCACTGGCATCCCTGCCTACCCACCCCATCCCCACCCTCCCAGCTCTGCTTGGGAAAGCCACACACTCCAGTGGCAAGTTATCTCCGTGAGCCTCCTCCCCAGAGCTGGGCCCTTTCGGCTGGCTCCGCCTGCACCCCTTACTGCCAGTGAGCCTGGAGTAAAACCCAAAGCAGCATGAAGGTCTGCTGGCACCTGGCTCCCCATCTCCAAACTCGACAGAACAGAATTTGAAAGTACTATGCCAACAGATTCCTGTCTCTACAACATCTCCATGTATATAAACGCACTCAGGTCTGTGGTTGGCCACACAGGAGGGTTTTGACAATCAGAGGACATCTGGCAATTTCTGAACACTTTTTGTTGTTGTCACAGCTGAGAGCTGGAGCAGGGGGTGGGGCTGCCACCAGCACCCCAATAAGATGAGACTCATGATGCCGCCCATCACCCTGCCATCCAGAGGGTACCCCACTACCACGGAGGGAGCACCCACTACAGCCCGTGCAGATGACAGCCCGCCTCTGACACAGAAGATCTCCCACTACCACTTCCAAGAATTACCCGGTGCCGTGTGTCGGTATCGCCAACACCATGAAATGTCCCTCTCAAGCCTCCACAGCAGGCTCTCCTTCAAAAGGTCCCATGCCACATACACATGGCAATGTCCCCTCACATGAATGACATTACAGGAAAATTTTTTAAAGATCCCCTCTGCAGAGCTGTCTGAAACGATGTGGGCTTTCAAGGAAAAATAACGACCATGAGGTACCAGGGCTGGGCTTGACAAAGTGCCAGTGTTTGCCCAGAGAAGCCATACATTTGTAAGACGGGAAATAGCGGACCCCTTTGTAAAACGAACAAGACAATTTGGTCTTAACGGGGGCCCTGACACCCACGCCACCTCAACTCAGCGAGGCCTCGCATTAATCTCCAAAAGATCAAAAATGGAAGGCGGCGTCTGATAAAGGTTTCCGAACTGCAGGGAAAGAACAGCAGCAGGCCCTTAAGTCGCCAACACAGGGACCGTTAAGGAAAATAGTCAGCACGGCCACAGCCAGCGTTACTGGGACATGGGCGTGAGAGAAGCCGCATGCCGTTGCTCACAAACTGACGTCTTATGTCACAGGCTGCAGATCAACTCTCGCAGCCCCTTCCTCCTGCCTCGGCCACTCCAGTAACTTGGAAGACGGGTCTGCACCACAGGTCCAGCTACTTGTAATTTTTTTTTAACCTACCAACACCTTTTCTGTGCTTCTGACCTGGCTTGATTCTTTTTTTTTGTTTGTTTTTGTTTGTTTTGTTTTGTTTCTACGAGACAGGGTTTCTCTGTATTGTTTTGGAGGCTGTCAGTCCAGCCCGGCCTTGAACTCACAGAGATCCACCTGCCTCTGCCTCCCAAGTGCTGGGATTAAAGGCGTGCGCCACCACCGCCCAGCCCTGGCTAGATTCTTGGGGTACAAGGTGAGGTAGGCAGGCAGACACACCAGCCCCTTAGACAGCAAGGAAAGTGGGTCCTCTCCAGAATGCCCACAAGTAACCCTGCCGGAGAAACGGCCCAGACATGATAGCAACACATTCCAGAACACAAAAAGTTGCAGGTGAACTCCTCCTCTGGTCAGCACCAAACACTTCAGCCTCACTCAAAACAGACATAAACAGGCCTAACCATTCAAGTAAACCCACCTATGTCCAGAGAGAACTTCCGTCGGGCCAGCAGCCTGACCCCCTCGACTCCACTCCTACTTTAAACTCTGACAATAAAGTAAAAAGAGGGGTCCAACAGGATTGAGTCAAGCCCAGAGGCTCTTTCTTTAAAAGATTTATTTACTGATTATGTATGTAGCGTTCTTGTTGGGAATTGAACCCAGGACCTTTGGAAGAGCAGGCAATGCTCTTAAGAGCCAAGCCACCTCTCCAGCCCCCCAGCTCCAGAAGTTCTTGCTGGGTCTACTAATAAAAATAGACCATGCAGCTGGGGAGCCAGGCAAACAGTGCCGCCATTCAAACCAGGCACTTGGGGCTGGGGCTGAGGCTCGGAGGGTAGCATGCTTCCCTCTCACGTACAAGGCCCTGGGTTCCATGCCCCACGCCACATAAAAACAGGTGCGGTGGTGCACACCTGTAGCCCACTCAGCTGAGGATGGACACGGGCTAGTTCCACATCTCAGCTGGTGTGGAAAATGGGGCAGGGAGTCAGGCATGAGAGCTGAGGGTCAGTGCACCAGCTTTATCCACGCAGGATTGGTACCCAATAGTGGGGCTGCTGGGCTGGACTGCAGTTCCGCACTTAATCCTTGAGGAATTACCACACTGCATTCATAATGACCATCTACCCCACCAGCTACGCAGGAGGGCTCTTTCTCCACCGCCTTGCCGGAATCTGTCATGTTGTCTTTTCAACAATGGTCATTCTGGCTGGGGTGAGAAGATGTTACAATGTGGTTTTGATTTTCGTTTTCCTAATGGAAAAAAAACATGCAACGTGATACTGTCTGGGTGAGGATGTGTTAGGCAGCACGGGGGACAAAAAAGCACAGATGCATGGGATTACATCCAACCGTAAGGGAGTGAGGGGCAGCGACGCCCCAGAGAAGGGAAGAAATGTGCGCTCCTAACGCGGAGCCGATGCCCAGAAATGATTCTCCTTAGCTCAAAGCAACAGCAAAAGAATAAGCAACCCAAAAACACTCTAAAGAGACACTTCTCCAAGGAGAGCAGACAGAGAGACGAGAGAGACAGACAGGCAGGCAGACAGACAGACAGACAGGCAGACAGGAAGGCAGACAGGCAGGCAGACAGACAGACAGACAGGCAGACAGGCAGACAGGCAGGCAGACAGACAGGCAGGCAGGCAGGCAGGCAGGCAGGCAGACAGGCAGGCAGACAGACAGGCAGGCAGGCAGGCAGACAGGCAGGCAGAGAGACAGACAGGCAGGCAGGCAGGCAGACAGGCGGGCAGACAGACAGACAGACAGACAGGCAGGCAGACAGGCAGGCAGAGAGGCAGGCAGGCAGGCAGGCAGACAGGCAGGCAGACAGACAGACAGACAGGCAGGCAGACAGGTAGGCAGGCAGACAGGTAGGCAGGCGGGCAGACAGGCAGGCAGAGAGACAGGCAGGCAGAGAGACAGACAGGCAGAGAGACAGACAGGCAGGCAGAGAGGCAGACAGGCAGAGAGACAGACAGGCAGACAGACAGACAGGCAGACAGGAAGGCAGACAGGCAGACAGACAGACAGGCGGGCAGGCAGGCAGGCAGGCAGACAGGCAGGCAGGCAGACAGACAGACAGGCAGGCAGGCAGACAGACAGACAGGCAGACAGGCGGGCAGGCAGACAGGCAGGCAGGTAGGCGGGCAGGCAGACAGGCGGGCAGGCAGGCAGACAGACAGACAGGCGGGCAGGCAGGCAGACAGACAGACAGGCAGGCAGGCAGACAGACAGACAGGCAGGCAGGCAGACAGGCAGGCAGACAGCTGGGGATGGATAATGACTTGTTTGCTGTTATTCTAACGTTTGCTTTTGTGTCTGTGTGTGTCTATTTGACCAATCACAGGTAAGACTGTAATTAAAGTCGTCACCCTACATAGTGACGGGTGCAAAGTGGTCTTCACTGACAACCAAATCAGGCCCACTAACAGATCCCTGGTGACAGGGCCAGCGTGTCCTCCTGCCCGGCCAGCACTGTGCACCACAAGGACAGGGTTTCAAATGACGAGGCAGCACCTGCAAGTGTGAGGGGACACCGTTCCTTCCGGCACGCCGGAGTCTGCCGCAAGCGCACGTCACCCGGTGTGTCTCTCACCCAGAGGCGTGTCCACATCAGCTTCCCCTGAGTTTCCGAACTTTGGGCTGCATAAAACTCACCCTACTGCCCCCCGACTCCTGCCATACATACAAAGAGGGATTGAGCAGAGTGGGTGACACGGAAACCCCTTGTGAACATTGGTGTTAAGAGTGTGGCACTCACCGGGCAGTGGTGGTGCATCCCAGCACTCCGAGGCAGAGATAGGGAGAGAGACAGAGAGACAGAGAGACGAGAGGCATTTCTGAAGGACACTTCAAAATATCGAAACATCACCCATAACACATGGATTGCAGTTTTAATTTCTCCCCTCAAACAGAACCCAAATCGTTTTAAATCCAAGGCGAGTCTTCCTGTCCACCTTAACAACTTGTGTGCTTGGAAACTGGACCTAGTCACACGACAGAAGACTCAGTGCCCTTCAATAACCAGTCTTCAAGAGGTCCCTTAGCAGCCCCTGCTCAAGAGACATCCCCTGGGCCCTCCTCTCCCTCAGACCACCCCCTTCAGCTGAGAGATTCTGCCCTGGGGGCAACAGTATTCAAGCCTGTCACGAAGGCTTCGATCTATTCATATAAACTAGGATATGAAACATTTGGGACATTCTGAGAGGAACGGCTACTCACCACAGTCTTTCCCTCATTTTGAACGTCTCGATAGTCAGGATTAAGCTGAAAGACAAAGCAATACTAGTGTCAAATAAAAAGTCCCAGTGAGGATGAGCCTGGGCCAGTGCAATGGCTCCGTGGATGAAGGTGCTTGCTGCAAGCCTGACGAGCTGAGTTCAGTCCCTGTGTTCACCTGCATGCTCGTGTACACACGAGTGCACACACACATACACACATGTACACACACATGACCACACACATGCATGCTCTTACACACACGCCCATACTCACACATATGCATGCCACATAGACACACATGTATACACATATACCCATATACATACACATGCCCCCACACACACATCTCACACACACACATGCCCATACTCACACATGTACACACGCACATGCATACACACACGCCCATACTCACACATACGCACACTACATAGACACACATGTATACACACATATCCATACACACACATGCCCACACACATTACACACACATACATACATGCCCATACTCACACATGTACACACACATGTCCATACTCACACATGCGCACACACATGCATACACACATATATGCCCATACTCACACACGTGCACACATGCACACATGCCCACACACATATCACACACACACAGATGAACATGCTTAAATGCCAGGCAAGGGAGGAGTTTTTATTTGTGGTGCTTTCATGGATGCTGACATGGATGTTGGTTTTGTATTTGCATTTGATTTTCATTGAAATGTCCTTAACTCTTTATGATTATCTATGTTCATTATCCCATATGTATGTGGAGTAATATACATATGGAATACATATTTATGTATATATATCATCCCTCTCTCAAGTTGTTTTTGTTAGTATTGTCACTACAGAGAAGGAAAAACCCAAATACACTCACAGCCACATGCTTTCATCACCATTGCTGTAAAATACACATGCCTCAGATTCTACCGCTTCTCCAAATAGAGCAGCAGCCGTAGCTGTCAAAGTCATCAGCCAAGGATGTACAGAAAAAGAGTATTGCTAAGGAAGGAAGAAAAGGCTGTCCTAGGGAAGCCCCTGGATATTTTAACAACACTTTGAAGGACAATACAGCATCATGTTAGAAACTGAATTATAAATCTGGCACAAGGGAGAGAGAGGGAACTCTTGTGATTGACAGAGCATCTCTAAGGGGCAAAACTTGTGGCAAGTGGTATTTTAGCCAAGAGTCCTGTCCCTGACCACTGACCCTGTGGCCTAGGAAGGAAAATAAAGCATAAATGCGGTCAGCTATGCTATGATGCAGATGTGACCGGAGTTAGGAGGCAGAAATTAATGATACAGGTCAGAGGAGGGAGGGAGGGGTCTGGGATGAGATAATCCTTGAAGGCGGGGCTTAATTTTAAGTGGCAGGTAAAGGAGCAGGAACAACACACGGCAGGGGAAAAAATGGGACTTATTTGCAGAGTCTCTTCACGATACTTTTAAGAAATGTTTTGGAGGGATCATCCATTTAACTTCGCAATTCCACTTCTGAGGAATACTCTCCATCCTACTTGACGGAAGAGCACTGGGCCCACTGAATGAGGAACTTCGAATGCTATAAAATCAATCCTATATGCTTGTATTCAGCAGCGCCTACGTATAGAAGCTGCGACAGAAAGCTATGCTTGATTCTCAAATGCTAACTAGGAAGAAAAATCATTGTGTTGTGGCAAAAGAACCCAAGCTTTAATAACATTTGCTGCGTTTGTAAGGCAGTGAGGTAGGCAAGCTCACACTCATGGTCCACAGCCATGGGGACGGCGAAAGGAGAAGAACATAGATTACTGGCAATATCAAAAGACACCGTCTTCATCAACTGTTGAAGACGGTTAAACAGATCATTGCCTGTTGGTGACAAGAGTCAAGAGTCCCAATGCCAGCTGCAGAATGCCCTCAGCGTTCTGTCCACACAGCAGTAAGGAACAGACAGAAACCACAGAAGCCCAGAGCACATGCTCATATTCTTGCTTTTTTTTAATTTTTATTTTTTTCTTTAAGTTGGGGGGTAAGGAACACACTCATGGGTTTGTACACATACGTGCAGTTCTCGTGGAGACCAGGAGAGGGCACCAGATCCTCTGGAGACATGGTCCCTGAGACCCAACAAAACTGCAGGAGGGATAGGTCCACAATTTGGAAGCAAGCACCTTAATGGGCTGAGCCTTTTCCCCAATGAGCATTCCTGGTGGTTTTTCTTTTTCTTCTAGTTTTGGTTTGTTTTTTGTTTGTTTGTTTATTTGTTCTGGTTGGTGTTTGAGTCTTTGTTTGAGAAAGTGTCTCCTGAAGCTCAGGCTGGCCTCAGACTCACTATACAGTTGCTGGGGGCAGGGGGGGTGGAGGTTGAGCTTCTGATTCCCCTGTGTCCCCCTCTGGGAGTTCTGGGACACAGCTGTGAGACGCCAAGCCTGTCCTCTTTGCTGGTATTAAGTTTTTAATTAATTGTACCTGAGAGCATTGAAGTTAGGAAATAAGTGTTGAGCGCCACCTGGTGGAAGCTTGTCCTAGCTGCAAACAAATATGCTAGTCCATTTTCTTCACTGTGTGTGTGTGTGTGTGTGTGTGTGTGTGTGTGTGTGTGTGTGTGTGTGTGTGTGTGCGTGCGCGCATGGTTCTTCAGGCACTGGTCACCTTTTATTGTTGTTGTTGACACAGTGTTTTTTCACTGTCTTAGAGCCCTCCTAGTTGTCCAGGCTGGCCAGCCAGAACACCCCAGGGATCCTGTCTCCATCTAGCGAATGCTGGGACTACAAGCACAAGCCACCATGCCTGGCTCTTTTCAGGCAGGTTCCAGAGGTCAAGCTCAGGGCCTCATGCTTTCCTGGCTAGCAACTTACCCAGGAGCACCACCACCACCACCAGCAGCCCCGGGTGAACCACTCTCTAAAGGCAACACCTCGCATGAACCATGGTAAATTAAGGGGGGGCAGGCTGCAGAGACGGCTCAGCACTGAGACCATGCACTGTTTTTGCAGAGCACCTAGGGTAGTTAATTAGTGAGCTGAATGACTTTCTTCATCAGTGTGGCAGCTCTGTTGGTTTCTCTGGGTGGTGATACATTATTTATGATTCATTAAAGCTCACCTGAGGATGCAGAAAGCAAAATCAGCCTCAGGCTGTAGAGGTGAGGCGGTGGTGGTACACACCTTTAATCTCAGGACTCAGGAGACAGAGGCAGATGGATCTCTCTGAGTTCAAGGCCACCCAGGGCTACAGGAGATTGAATCTGTCTAAAAGATTAACACAGAGCTCATGCCTTTAATCCCAGCACTAGACAGATATAAAAGATAGGATCAGGGTCTTTGGTGGTCAGCCTCAGGATCTCCAAACACATTGAGGAGAGCATAACAGTCTAGGATTGCAGTCTGAGGTTTGGTGGAACCAGGATCACCTTTGAGTCTAAAGTAGAGGTAAGAGCTAGTGGCTTGGCTGCTTTGCTTTTCTGATCTTCAGCTTGAAGATTGAACCCGAATATCTGTCTCTGGGTCTTTTATTTATTGGTGCTATACCCTGGCCAACCAGCCTGGCCTAATCAGCTAGCTCCAGTACAAGTGAGAGACCCTGATGACATGGGAAGTCCTTCTGTATGCTATGAATATGTGTTGCTTCTATTGGTTGGTTAATAAAGCTGTTTGGGCCAATGGACAGGCAGAATATAGCCAGGTAGAAAATCCAAACAGAGACAGAGAAAGAAGGCAGGGTCAAGGAGATGCCATGTAGTCACCAGGAGGTAAGGTGCCAGGTCACAGGTAAGCCACAGCCACACACAGATTAGTAGATATGGGTTAATTTTATAAGAGAGAGAGAGAAATAGCCAGTAATAAACCTAAGCCACTGGCCAAGCGATAAATTCTCTGAGTGTTTATCTTATAAGCAGCTATGAGGACACGGTAGGTGGAGAGAAACTAGTCAAATGGGTCCAGGCGAGACAGAGCCAAGTCTCCATCTATATCTGACACCCAACATGGGGCTCTCAAGTTTCCACATAAGACCTAAGACATCTTAAAACAAAAAGTGGGTTCCACGATGCATATATGAAGCTGAGGACAGCTTCCCGGTTCTGTCTCTCATTCAGGCCACGGTGCCCAACAACGTAGCATTCAGGCTTGAACATACCCAAAACTAGAACTACAACCAGCAAGAACAATGTCAACCAAGAAACACAAACACATACTGAACATCCAGGCTACAGGCAATTGGCGAATAACAGAGATTACTCCAGGCTGCCCCATCTCAAGGGACCCAAGCCTTGGGCTAAAATGTCTTAGCTAAGACACGGCAGGATAACTGCAACTGTCCAGTCTTCAACCCCAAGATCCTTAAAACCCACGGTGGATGGAATCTTGAGCAAAAAAACACGAGGCTGACCAAGGGTCTCCATACACAAGCCCTCACATGCACATTCGTCCTATACACGCACACACACACACACACACGAACACATACAAACACACACGCATTACATATATAAACACAAAACAGTGATTCGCAGTCTAGCGGTGAGGGTTAATCTAGTGGCCAACTTAATGAGATCTATAATCAACTGAGAGGGGTCTGTGGGTAGACCGAATGGGGGATTATCCTGAGAGGGCTGAGGTAGGATGACTTGACCGCTGTAGGCGGCACCATTCCCTGAGCTGCGCGAAAAGGCAAAAGAGAGCTGAGCGGAAGCCCCCATCAGCTCCGACTGTCTGGTTCAGCTTCCGCCGCCCCAACTTCATCATGGTGGGCTGTATCTTTTAGCCATGAGCCAACATAGCTCCTTTCTCACCTGAGGTTTTGTCAGGATATTTTATCATAACAACGGGGGTAAAAAACAACAACAAAACACCAGCCCAGATGTGACAGGCCATAATCAGATCACAGGAATCGTCCCTGACAATGCAGTGACTTTCACAGAAAGGGGTTTCCTGGTTCGTTATTTCAGACAGAGACCGAATAGCACCGTACCCAACAGTCTTACCTCGGCAGCTAAGTAGTTCCCAGTTGCAAGATGTTTGAATCTGAACAGGCTGTTCCACTGCCCTGCACCGCCCCGGCATGGGTCATGGTGAACCACCTACAGAGAGGGGGAGTTCCAGTGACAAAATGGTATCCGCATGCCAGCCAGCAAGTGCCAGCAGCCAAGGCACCCCGCTGTGCGCGCCAATCCATCTAACATGTATCCCGAGAGCACGAAGTGGGAACTTCCCATCAGTGAGCAAGAGACACACGTCACACCTCACTCGAGGGCGCCCAAGCCTCATGCCTGTAGACACTGTCTTACTGCAGGAGGCCTGCTTCCTGTCAGGGGACAGTTTCTCACAAATAAAATCCCAGGACTTGGGATGATGAGGCACAAGGATTGCAAAGTGTTGAGGGCCACTTGGTGCTGCACAGTGAGTTCCAGGCCAGCCTGGACGAGAAAGTGAGACCCTGCCTATATAATCATTATTAGGCAGGGTCTGGGAAGGCCTGGGCAAAACACCAGCACCACACCAGGCACCCAGGCCGCACAAAGCCCTTGCCAGGAGCTACGTTGCCACCATTCTTCCAGCTTGTTTTAGGAGGCCTGGCTGATTTCAGACTTGTCACTGTCCTCCTGCCCCAGCCTGGTGAGTAGCACCCTTAGCTATGAGTATCTCGATTTCAATGCATTCAAAGAAAAGATACCCGGTACTCTCAGTGGCTATAGGTTCTGCCTCTGCCGCCCCCAGCCACGGCTCAGACAGTGCCTCAGAGGGACATGGCTTCCAGTCTGGTCAGCACTGATGAATTCACAACGGAATTTTTTTCTCCTTTCACCCCCTCGATTAACTTTATGGACACAGCCACAAAGAGATATGTGCTAATTCCACGTCATGGATATGCCACCGGTGTTGCCCATAACGGCAAAGCCAACAGGCTAATGATCTTTATCTTTTTACATAAATATTTAGCAACTCCCCCCCAAGAGAGTACGTACCTCTATTTCCCAGAGTGCTTTAGAACTAGTGGCTGAAGTTGCTGACTGACGCAAGGTCGTCCGAAGGAAAATGTGTTGCTTTTTCTCATAGTCATCGCAGGTCAGAAACTTCTCCTGTTCGGCATGAAACAGTCTCACGACATCACCCTGGAGAGACAGGTGAAGAAATGATAACCTTCCAGCAGCCGCCAGGACCAGCAAGCTGGGGGTCTGGCAGTTCCTTTCTGGCCTGGGCACTCTGGGCTGCAGGGCCGGCGCCTGTCCTTGAAGGCTGTGAGGACATTTCAGATTCCTGGCACATGAGGATGAAGGTTTGCATGGAGGGGTTACTCACCCCTTTCAATACGTCCTCTCGATAGGAACTGAATTTCATGAATAAGGTGATTTTCCAGCTAGTGTTACAATTGACAGCGTTCACCTGTTGACGGAGACAAATGTTAAAAGACTTGAGACTGTGGACTCTATACCCTGTACCAAAAATCACCATTTCAGACAGGAGAAGAAGAAAAAGGACAAGGGAGTGTGAGCCTCAATTAAAAACAAAACAACATCTTTAAAGAGCCATTCAAGACAACTAGTACCCACAGATGCCCAAGGATGCTAACACTAGCAGGATGCTACTTGAGAGAAACAAAAAACAACACGCTCTCCCTCCCTCCCTCCTCTTACCCCTCTCCCCTTTTCTCCTCTTCTCTTGCTCCCTTTCTCCCCACTCCCTCTCTCTTTTCTCTTCCTCCCTCCCAACCTCTCTCTCTCCCCCTCTCTGTTCCCCCTCTTCTCCGTTCTACCTTCACTCCTCTTTCCCACTCTCTTCCTCCCTCCCAACCTCTCTCTCTCCTCCTCTCTGTTCCCCCTCTTCTCTGTTCTACCTTCACTCCTCTTTCCCACTCTCTTCCTCCCTCCCCCTGGAGAACACAGCCCTTCCTTCCCGCCTGGACTCTCACCTCTTTGCAGCCTGGGTTGTCCAGGAGTTCCACGTTGCTGGCATGCAGGGGCTGCCCAGCGTTCACCGGCATCAGAACAACTTTGTCGCCTACGACGATCTGGGGGTCAGAAACACACCCTGATGCTCTGAGAGGCTGGAAACGCCCCCAGCAGTCCTCTCCAGCAGCCTGCCTCCCCGTCCCCTCAGTCTACAGACTGTGACTTGACTCTTCTCCCTGAGCAGCGTGTTCAAATACACGGCCGAGCACTCATCCTCCATGCCTGCCAAGCCCAATTCTCCATTCGTCTCCACATCAGCTGGGGCTCCCCAGAGGTCAGAATCAGGCGATTTTCTCCCCAAAAGTCCTTGCAGCAGACACAATGAAGTCAGCTACCAGGATGTTCCTGTACCCAAGCTTCAGGGTAGCAGAGAACACATCCCTCCGTGCTCCCTCCCCACCGCCAGGCGGTGCTCCCCCTCCACTGGAAGGCAGTGAATCTCAGAATGATGAAGCATCTGACCTCTGGGTTCAGGAAACACGAGGCAGGGCACGACCTTGTAAAAATCTATGCTTCGTCAGGTCTGGGACTTTCGGTTCCTTTTAATTGAAACGTCCAAAACCAGAAGGGTAGGCACCCGTGTTTCTTTTATAATAAGAATTATCAGGGTTCCAGGGGAAAGTACTAAAACATCTAAGTCTGTGTTTATAGAGTGTGATAATGGCAATGTCTATTTTACTAGCACATATCTTTATAGCTAATTCAACATGTAAGAACTGAATTTACCTTTTCTTAAATGGCAATAACAGTGTGATTTTAGTAACTGGAGAGACTTGTGTTAGTTCTTTTTTGTTTTTTTTTCTTACTTAAAATTTATTTAGTTTATGTGTGTGTGTATGTGTGTGTGTTTCTGTCTGTATATTCACCTTTATGCCAGAAAAGGGCATCAGATCCCACTATAGATGGTTGTGAGCCACCCTGTTGAACTCAGGATCTCTGGAAGAGCAGCCAGTGCTCGTAACCATTGAGCCATCTCTAATGTCTTTAGAAGATAGTTTTGTGGTATCTACTTTCACAGCTATGGGGCTTTCCCACTCTGAATCAAAATCAAAAACTTTCCCTTCGCAGGTTTCATACCAATTATATGTTAGAACAATTAAGGATGACTTTGGTATGTAAATGAGAAAACCGTTGGGACTTGGAACATCTCCATGTGCCTTAACCAAAACACACGTTCGCATTTTCAGTGTCATGTGACCCTAAGTGTACAATGTGGAGGAGTTGTGTTACTGCACACTGTATCTAGAGATCTACCTGTGTCCAAGAAGCCTCAAGTTCAGTAACCAAGCACAGCAAGGTGCCCTTGGCTTTGTGGTATGAGTACCTGCTGTTTTCAGGATGGGACTGCGTGATGAGTACCTGCTGCTTGCAGGACAAGCCTCTAGACCCCATCAGACCTTCCAAACACAGATGCCGGCAAATACTCATTTACAGAAAATAAAAATAAGTAAATCTTTTTTTTTTTAGATAACATTTAAGAGGGGCTAGGGAAAACATGTGTATAAGAAATAGTCCATAATCTCGGAGAATTCACATTGCTAGATATGTTGGAATTATTCTCAGAAGAGTGAGGCTTCAGGCCTGAACTATCTGTCGATGCAGCTAGACACTAGGAAGCTCTATTTGATGCATAACCAGAGGGTGAGGCCCTTTGATTTTACATCTTACAATCCCAAAGACTTCTGTTGGGTCTATGCTGTGCGCATGTCACACTCAAGCTGGGATTTCACTGATAATAATGCCACCTGCAGCTGGATGTCCCTGCTTTGAGTGTCACTTTGGGACAGTAAGACGAATCTCACAGTGGGGATTAGAAAACACCAATGCTCTGGTTCCACCTCTGCTACAAATGCCAGGCTTGTCGTTTCGTAAACTCGCAAAAGTTGTCCCCTTGCCGGGTGTTGGTGGCGCACGCCTTTAATCCCAGCACTCGGGAGGCAGAGGCAAGCAGATCTCTGTGAGTTCGAGGCCAGCCTGGTCTACAAAGTGAGTTCCAGGACAGCCTCCAAAGCCACAGAGAAACCCTGTCTCGAAAAACCAAAAAAAAAAAAAAAAATCTGCCTGCTAGATAGAGTCCCTCGCCAAGCATTAGACTTTCCTAGTGACTTAAAGAATTCTACCTCTTCGTGCTTCTAAATCCACTATCAGGGCAGAGGACCCTTGTCTTCTCAGGTCAAGACTGAAAAGGTCAGAGTAACACCTCAAACGTGAGGAAGACACGTGGAAATGAAACACCGATGTTTTCTGCTCACGGTGTCCTCGGTGGTTTTTCTAGTAACTTAGCAGCAGCCAAGGGTTTTCTACACAACTCAGGGTGAAGGGACCTGTGAACCCGTTTCCTCCAAACCATGCATTCCTACCTAACGCACCTTAGTGCACTCCAGGCTGCCATCTGCATCCTTCTCCACTAGAGCCCAAAGGACTTCTTGTTGGATACACACAACCTAAGTCTCTCCTTCACTCATTGCTAAATAGCAAACTATAACTTTAAAACTCCCCTGAGCATTGCAATCTCCTCTCCATTTTAGATACTTACGCAGACACTCCGTCATAATTAAACCACTCGAAGAGACAGTATTGGCAACTGCCTTCAATGAACTACAGTAGGTTGACGTTTCAAAACACTGCCTGTTCCTAGCCAAGAAAACAGGAGTTGCATACAAGTCCGTGTGTGCAGCTAATACAAGGCTGTGGGCATGCCAGCCTTCATCACGTGCAAAGCTACACAGAGGTGAACAAACATGGTGATGGTTTCGGCAAGGTGGAGGAAGACTATCGCAGCAGGACTTAGTGGAGTGCATCCAGAGAAGAACAACTTAACGGCTACAAAGACAAGGTTTGTTTCTGTTGAAACTAACTGTCTAAAGTAGTTGTTACATTCAACTCTCTCCTGATACTATCAAGGGGCTTGCAAGCAGTGAGAGGAAGACAAAGGAGGACTAAACAGAGGGAACCGTGAAATTCACAGCAACCCGGAAGGCAGAGGCTCATTTCACCATGTCATCATATTCTCTTTAGTTTGAGCGCAGCTAGGATTTGTTTGATTTGACATTTAGTGTTCATGAACCACCTACAGAGGGAAACACAGGAATTGTGGGGGTTGGGGACACCATTGTGAGGGAAGTGGATAGTTTGCAGACTGTGTCTTAGCCCTTGAATGACTGAGAGTTGATTGTAACTAACTACACATTCAGAACAAGGATGCGCCATGCTCGCAGAACACGTCACTTAACTTCAAAAGGAAACAGGGGAGGGGAGAACTGGTTTCCCAAGGACTCCAATCCGCCCCCTGCATGCCATGCACCTCAAACCTTACCTAAGGAAGACATCACCAGAAAAATTATTAACCCAATTAAACCATGGCGCTTATGTCCTGTGGAATTGAATTTGTACTTTAAAATTCACTGGAAAAAGAGGTTGTCTATAAAAAAAAAAGGAGAAGAAGAAGACATTTCTAACATAAGAAATACCTCCAAGCAACTAAAGATGCAACCCAAGTATTGACTGTGAAAACTGACAGGGGAATGACATCTCCACTTGAGTCAGAAGCATTGACCACCTGGCATTTGTGTGGAGTTCTACTTACAAACTCGTCTTTACTGAGCACCTTCCAGGAGCTAAGGACTACCACGAAAATATCAAATTTTTAGCCAGGTGTGGTAATGCACAGCTATAATCCCAGTAGTCAGTGGGCTGAAGCTGAGGCAGGAGAACCAATGCAAGTCTGAGGTCAGCCTATGCTATACAACAAGTGGCAAGTCAGGCCAGAAGAGAGTGAGATGCCGTCTCGATAAATAAAAGGATGAAGCCATGGTCCCTATGGAATCATCTCACTGTTTTTTTTTTCTCTTCCACAAAATAACAGAAAAGATCTAAGTCGGTGTTCCTCAACCTGTGGGTCACAACCCCCTTTGGGGCTTGAATGACCTTTTCACAGGGGTCACCTAAGGCCATCCCATCGGAAAACACAGATGTTTACATTACAATTCATAACAGTAGCAAAATTGCAGTTTACGAAGCAGCAACAAAAGTGATTTTACGGTTGGGGTCACCACCACATGAGGAACTGCATTAAAGGGTCACAGCGTTGGGAAGGTTGAGAACCCTGCTCCAAGCACCACACCCCCCTTTATAGCCATCAACAATGAGCAGATGTCACAGTCCCTCAAATCCTGCACACCGTGACAACACCGTAAGAGGCTGGGCTGTGAAGATACCGAACGGAACACTGCCATGGCTCTCCGTTCCCCTGATCATTCAAAAGGCCAGGTGCCGTGGTGGCCCTTTCTTGCAAGCAGGCTCAACCCTGACTAAGCAGGAAAGGGACCGGCCTCTTTGAAAACGCTTCGCACAGTCTGGCTGGGGATGACTCTAACTTGAGCTGAACTCTGTCCTGTGATTTCTGAGCGTGGCCCTACATCGTGAACAAATGCATTTAACCTAGTAAAACAACGCCAACACCAGTTGTGTTGGAAAGTACAACGAAACACAGGCACAAAATCGCCGTGACGCAACCCACCATTCCCTGCGCTAACTCAGGTAGCTTCGAGTTAGCTGGCTGAAGACTGCACTCCCTGAGTTCTCTAGAACACTGCGTGTTGTTTGCCCCCCCCCTTGGTTTTGCGTGCACGTACATTATCCCCCTCGCTTCTCAGCTTCCAGAAGGGATGGATGTAGAACCAGGACCCTTCGTTCCCGGCAGCGTCCAACGATACACGCATGGCGTTCTTCTCCAGTAAAGCGGGTAGCCTCTTGTTGACAGTCAGGTACTTGTTGCTTTTTATATGCAGCAGCTGCAGAGGAAAGATGGATGTTAGAGCCTGTACCCGTGGCCTCCTCGGGTAGATGTACTCACAAATCCATACGGCACAACCCGTGCCGGAAACCAAACACAGGAGCCACCACCAGCTTGCCGAGCTGCCCACCTGTCTCCTCCTCGTCTCCACCCCAAGTTCTGCTTCTAGGGTGATGGAGACTGTGTGGGGAAGATACCCCAGGGGACACTGAAATGATACACCAGGGGACACTGGAGACACCTTCATCCACTGAGAAATTGCAAAGTGAAACCAGGCTTTCCAAAAAAACAAACCAATAAAAAAGCCCTGGAGGGTCCCTGAAATCTCACCCATTCCCAATACTCATGCCACACAAGCAGAATCTGCTAAAGAAAATCAAAGCCTGAGAGGAGGCACACACCTACTCCATGCCCTAAGCACTCTGTCCATCAACAGTGCTAACTCTCACTCTGTAACTTCAAGAGAGTCAGAAAGAAAGGAGACTCTGACAAGCGCCAACCTCCCACCCCCCACACACCGACTTCTGAGATGAATTCAGGAGGACCAGCCTTCGTGTCGCCCTTCTCCATGGACACCACAGTCTTCCCAAAATATACCCTTACTGGGTAACTACAGACAAACTTCCCATCTAGTTTCAAAACCAGTCAAAAGAGAAGGGGCATTTTAGTGCCCATAAGATGAGGCAGAAGTTATTTCAAAGTAAAATGGAACATTTTTAATTGAGAAGAGAGGATCATCTTTTTGCAAAGCTCCAGGTTCTACCTACCCTCGGTTCTTATCGCACTAATGAAGATGTGGAAACCCATGGGTCTAGGAGCTACCTCAACTGGTCAGGTGCTACCTGACAAGCCCGAGGGCCCAAGTTCAATCCCCCAAGCTAAAAACTCAAAACGGAACTCATAATCCCAGCACTGGGAAGGTGTATCCCTGGGCTTCCAGGCAGCCAGCCTAGCTGTGAGTCCAGGCTGTGAGAGACCTATACTCCAAAAACAGCGTGGGACAGCTCCTAATAGCAACACCTGAGATGAAGCTCACTTCAGGCTTCCACACACAGACACCCATGCACCTGCACACGCACACACATGCACACGCACACACATGCACACACACGCACATACACACACATGCATACATACACACACATGCATACATGCACACACACACTCATGTGCATACACACCCTCAAGACTGAGTATGTACCTCCAGGGTCCACGTTGAAGCACAAAGCACAGCCCCTAAGACAAGCATTTGTACTTGAAGGTACTTGACAAGGAGCTTGAATGAGTCACCAAAACTCAGTGAAGAGACGTCTCTGGAAGTCTACTTAGGGGATGTGCAGTCCCAGCAAGTCAAAAGTCACTCCCTCCACCCTGTCCTGTGGGGACAGCTTTGCCCTGCCCTCTGGCACACTGCCATTGGCCCATGACAGAACACCAGAAGACATTATTCTTTAATGCAGCCGTATAAAGCTCCTCGTTGTGGCGATTGCTGTAAGGAACCTGTGCCGGCTGTTGTTTGCCGTTTTAACAGTGTCCTCTTTATGAGCACTCAAGGGAAACACTTTCCTGGTCTCGCTTCTGGGAACGACTGTGTTTCTAGTCTCACGATGAGCACTACGCTGTAGACCTCCACTACCAGGGCTGTAGCAGGGTCACAGGGACAGCAATGCCTTGGCCTGGGGTCACAGGGACAGCAATGCCTTGGCCTGGGGTCACAGGGACAGCAATGCCTTGGGCTGGGGTCACAGGGACAGCAATGCCTTGGGCTGGGGTCACAGGGACAGCAATGTCTTGGCCTGGGGTCACAGGGACAGCAATGCCTTGGCCTGGGGTCACAGGGACAGAAATGCCTTGGCCTGGGGTCACAGGGACAGAAATGTCTTGGCCTGGGGTCACAGGGACAGCAATGCCTTGGGCTGGGGTCACAGGGACAGCAATGCCTTGGCCTGGGGTCACAGGGACAGAAATGCCTTGGGTTGGGGTCACAGGGACAGCAATGTCTTGGCCTGGGGTCACAGGGACAGCAATGTCTTGGCCTGGGGTCACAGGGACAGCAATGCCTTGGCCTGGGGTCACAGGGACAGCAATGCCTTGGCCTGGGCTCACAGGGACAGCAATGCGTTGCACTGGGCTCACAGGGACAGCAATGCGTTGCACTGGGCCTTACGAAACATTTTAAGCAACCCTCACTTTTGACCCCGCCTCATCCAGCCACCCATTATTTTCCCTTCGACCCAGCTGCCTCCCTTGGCGACTGGGGCTTTATCTACCAATGCGCCATGTTTCTTGGAGAAGGTCTCACTGAAAGGCGAGGCACTCGTTAGCAAACAAACACACAAAAAAGAAAGCCTCAAGGATCCAAGTGAAGCATGGGAAAGAAATGAGCTGAGACCAAGCAGTGTGTATCCTGACAATGAAGACTGAAAGCCACAGGAATATTGCCTGTTAAACAAATGTACCATCTGAAAACTTTCCCCTTCCACCCCAGGAGAACGGCGAGCATCAGCCCACCCACCGAAAGGGCTGTGTCTTCTGGGCCTTACAAACCCTCTTGCACAGGCTTGCCTCCGGTCACTTAAGCTCGCGCCTAGAGATCGGTTTTCCGCGTGCCTGCATGGATCGCCTATGCCCGGGGTTTGCAGGCCCGCGCCATCGGCCTGGCACAAAGAGTGTTCAATACACACATAATATGATGTGTGTTCACTGAAAGCCTCATACTAATCACCACCCACTCCATAGAAGGAACGCGGTACCACAAATGCTTCAGACCGCTTGACACATGGGTAGTTTGACAGGTCACCCATAAAACACTTCCCTCTCTGATGACAAAACGAAGACTTACTTGTATAACGTTGCTGTATTTCACGATTTCTCCCAAAAGCTTCCTGTTCTCTGATTCATTCTGCTTCTGCTCCAGCTCAGCGGCGTGCTGCGAGAGGGCGGCCAAGTCGTCAGTGCGGGAGCAGAGATGATGACTTACAAAGAATTCTTAGCAGCAAGAAGAAGTCAGGCTGGCTGTGTGATCGGGGAGCTGGATTTGAGACAGGGCTTCTCTGAGTAGCCCTGCCTGTCCTGGAACTCACTCTGTAGGCTCATCGAGACTCAAGCTCAGAGATCTGCCTGCATAGTGCTGGGGTTAAGTGCACACACCACCATGCCCAGCAAGGAAGTTTTCTGTTACTGGGAGTATATTTACACTCGGCTCTCGTGGATCTCCCCACTCTACCCAACCCCACCCCAAGTATGGCAACTATACCATCTGTGCTGAATACAGACGAACCTGTCTTGTTTCTATACTGCAAACTTCAGTTAAGTGGAAGGCTCTGTGGAACTAGAAACTGTTCTACGGTATGGCGTGAAACTGTTAGAAAAACAGGTAAATTAATATCTCACAGCATGGCTTTCAATTCTGAGAGTACCTAGGATTTAAATGATACAAAACTTAGTACTATCAAATTCAGACTCAATCAAACTATATATATATATCCTCCATAGACTGTTAAGGGGGAAAAAAAGTACTATAAAGGGTAAAATATAATTAGATTTAGTAGTCAGGGGGTTTTAATTCCTTTTCGGTTTGGTGAGAAGTTTAGAATTAGCCCGGCACACCTTAAAAAATAACAGTGGGGATGTGTTGCCCATATGCCAGGAAATAAGTAGGTACGCCCTACAATGGAAAACTACTTACCTCTGCACTGTGCCTGGGCTCTAACTGAAATCTCTTACACAATGGTGAAATCAGCAAGCCAAGCGGCCGGTTGCCTGCTTGTTATTGTTGCTCTCGGGCCAGCCTCGGGGCCAGCCTCAGAGGAAGAGGGCAACGGCTCACCTGGAGTTTCTTCAGCAGGGCAGCCTCCGTGTGGTTCCCTTGTTTTGCCTGTTTGGCTTTCCAGTATTGCTTCTGGGCAGAGTATCGATTCATGGGGCACACCTTGAAAAGGCAGTCTGAGAAACAAACAGACCAATGTAACTAAGGCTCCAGGCACTTTCTAGACACACTTTGTAAGCCTAGCTGGGGACATTAATATCTTTTAGTGTTTAGGACATTCAAAGGTCATGCCACAGTCATTCCCTGAACAAGTCTTAATGCACTCTACAGCATCCTTTTCAAATACCTACTTAGGTTTCATTAAAGTAGATGCTTCTTCATTAGGGTTTTACGAAACATTCTAGCTAGTGTAATTCATGAGGAAGTCAATGGCGTGGTTGTATAAGGCAATTCTTATTTTAGTTGACTTCGGATGTTTTGAGACAGGGTTTCATGTAGCCCAGGCTAACCTCTGTCTTACTAGGTAGACAAGATGGCCTTGATTTCCTGGCCTTCCTGCCTTTCCCTTGACAGTCCTAGTGCAGCAGGCACAAGCCACCACATGTTGTGGAATAGTTAACCATTTAAAGATGTGTTACATTTGTTTATGCTGTAGAATACCACTGTAACTATGTGAAGGTGTGTTACCTTTGTTTATGCTGCGTTTGCTTAACAATGTAAAGATGTGAAATGTTTGTTTATGCTGTAGAATACTACTGTAACTATGTGAAGGTGTGTTACATTTGTTTATGCTGTGTTTGCTTAACAATGTAAAGATTTGTTACTTTTATTTATGTCGCATTTGTTTAATTATGAAAGTATGTGTAGTTGTTTCACCCTGCCTGCCTAAGGCACCTGACTGGTCTAATAAAGAGATAAACAGCCAATAGGTAGGCAGAGAAAGGATAGCCAGGGATAGCAGGCAGAGAGAATAAAGAGGAGGATAAATCTAGGCTTGGGAAGACCGAAAGAGAAGGGAAAAAGGATGAGAGAATGAGGGAAAAAGAGAGGGACACTCCCAGGGCCAGATGCCAGGCAACTACCAGCTGGCCACAAGAAGCAGTGAAAGAAGGAAATACAGAAGGAAAGAAAGGTAAAAAGCCCCTGGGCAAAACATAGATACACAGATTAAAGTAAGATCTGAGATAAGGCCAAGTGCTCGTAACTATGGATAAGTCCCCATGTCATGACTTCAGAACTGATTGATGGCCCAAAAGAAAGTCCGGTACAGGAGGCTGACATGGTTAGATAGTGAGTTCAAGGCCAGGCTGGACTACTCCGCCTCAAAACAAAACTAAGAAAAGATGCTGGATCTGCCCTCATACTACTTGTCCATGTTCAGTATATTTGATGCAAGAAGTAACCACATGGCCATTACAGCCATCCAGCCCCCTAGGCTCCAAATACCTGGGGTGAACATGGTGGACATCTGAGAGACAGTGTCATAGGGAGGAAAAATCAGACAAAACAAAAGCCGAAACTGTGGTCCTGATTTCCAGATACCTAAATCTGTAGGCTGGAGACCATAATCATAGGTGACCATAGCAGTGATGGCTCAAAAACGGAAGAGTTAAGCAGTGATTCCTTCCCAATGGGAAGAGCGGGCTCAGCAGGGGTCCATGTGCTGGGATTTCACATGAGGTGACCTCAACATAACACACAGGTCAACTCCCAAGGTCTGAGGGTCCCGGATGCTCCTCCTGTTTGGGTGATAAAATACTTACTAGCAGCTGTCACATTGGCCACAGTCAGGGGGGAGGGAGGATGACCGTCTGCTGCCCAGCCCTCTGCCTCCACTTACACGGTCCCGGATCCCAGCCAGGGACTCTGCTGCCCACCCCAACGCAGTCATAGGAATCCCCACAGACATGTCCAGCGGTCCAACTCCCTCTAGAATCTGTCACTGATACCACCCACATATGACAAAACAATCATTGAGGGGCCGGAGAGATGGCTCAGTGGCAGAGTAGCCCAGCCAGGGGCGGCTCAAATTCTGGGGACCCAACACCCTCTTCTGACCTTCTTGGGCAACAGGCATGCACACACATACATAAAGGCCAAGGGCTCATATACGATAAAAAATTCTGGCGGTCATGGTGGCACACGCCTTCCTTAAGCCCAGCACTTGGGAGGCACAGGCAGGCAGATCTCTGCGAGTTCAAGGTCAGCCTGGTCTACATAGTGAGTTCCAGGGCAGCCTGGGCTATGTAGTAAGCCTCTGTCTCAAATAAATAAATAAATAAACTAAAAACAAGAAAAAAATCCTTAAAAAAACTTACTTTGTTTTTTTAAAAAAATGTGTTACTATTTAGAGACAGTCTCACTTTTTAAGTATATATCAAAAAAATAAAATTCAATACAATCAAATATCCCTGCAGCCACATTCTCTCTCTCTCTGTCTCTGTCTCTCTGTCTCTGTCTCTCTTGTCTCTCTCTCTGTCTGTCTGTCTCTCTCTGTCTCTGTCTCTGTCTGTCTCTGTCTGTCTCTCTCTGTCTGTCTGTCTCTGTCTGTCTGTCTCTGTCTGTCTGTCTCTGTCTCTCTCTGTCTGTCTCTGTCTCTCTGTCTCTGACTGTCTGTCTGTCTGTCTCTCTCTGTCTGTCTGTCTCTCTCTCTCCTGCCTGTGGATCCAGATGTAGAATTCTCAGCCGCCATGTCTGCCCATGCTTCCCGCCATGAGGATAACGAACTAAACCTCTGAACTGCAAGCCAGCCCCAACCAAAAGCTTTCTTTTCTAAACCATGGTGTCTCTTCACAGCCATAGAACCCTAAGACAAGGAGCAGGACTAACACTTTTAAGAAATTAAAAATAAAACAGGAGACATAATGACCTTATAATTGTGTACATAATTGGTTGGTTGGTTGGTTGGTTGGTTGGTTGGTTGGTTGGTTGGTTGGTTGGTTTGGACACTGTGGAAGCCGGAGAATAACTTTTAGAAGTTGGTTCTCTCCTTCCACCTCGTCAGTTCCAGGAATCAAACACATGTCATCATGCTGCACAGAGAGCCCTTCACCCACTAAGTCATCTTGTCTGCCCCACAAATTCTATCAGCTGCCCTACTTTCTGAAACAGAAAAGTAACACAGAGTTCCAAACTTTAAAAATACTAACATGAAGCTGAAGAGATGGCTTGGTGGTTAAAAGACTTCCTGGACTTCCAGAGGGCTGAGTTTGTTTCCCAGTACCCACACTGGACAACTCACAACCAACCACCTATAACTCCAGTTCCAAGTGATCTGATGCCCTCTTTTGGCTTTCACAGGTACTACACTCACGTGCATGCATACACACACACACACACACACACACACAAATACATCTAAATAAAAATAATTTTAAAACACTGCCTCAAAAAATCAAAACTAAATAAATAATTTTTAAAATACTAATATAGACAAATGCTTGTCCATTTGGCTTTGCAGGGCTGAGGATTGAACCCACGGCCTTCCATATGTTAGGCAAGCACTAAGCTATAGATCCACTAAGATTTACCACTAAGATATAACCCTAGCCTGAGAGTGAATAGTTTCTATGAGGCAGAAAATGATGCCTTCAAAATGCTAACCCAGGCTTGAAGACCATCACGGCTACAATGTGACTCAGAAGTACTGGCAGATGCCCGTGAAGACCAAAGGCTGCCGTTGAGGCGTGTTGTCTTTGGCAGCATATCCTACAAGGCTCAGAAATTATTTCCTACACATTAGCAATTACAAAGAGGGTTATACAAAGTTTTCAAAGCATAAATACTAAGGTTGTTCACAAGCAGGCATGAAAGGATGTCTGTGAGTTAGTGCTGTAGATTATTTTGACAAACATGAGGCCAGAAACAAAACTACATTGTCTTGGCGCAGCAAAAACACAAGTTGACGTTCGTGCAGAACACAGCCCTGCGACCCATGGACCGTTCTCATCAACTCATTCACTTGTGGAAAGAGAAGCAGTAGACCCCTCACTGTTGCTGCAGATTCCGATCATGGTTCATGAGGAAGTGGTCTTTTGACACAGAAAATACGTGTGGGTGAATTTTAGAATTACCCCGATGCTGCTCCTTTGAAACGGCATCTTTGGGAAGCCAGGATGGCATCTCTACAGACAGCATTGAGGCCTGAGTACGTGTCTGAATCGGTTAGGAAACAGACATCAGACCCAGCTTATTGTAATCCCCACCAGGAGTCCTGCCTGTGCCCTGGGTGTTGTGACTCAGCCCCTACCCTCAGGAAGCTCGCTGTGAACTGAAAGTTTCCCATGGGGGCTCTGGAGGAGCATAAAGATTGCTCCATGGAGCTCTCCCGCGGGTGACGTCTCATTTTACATCAGTAAATATGCGTGAGAATTAGGACGGCAAGACCGTCTGGACTGACAGAACACAGGTCAAACACCTTCTGCGGAAAAGTTGCATTGGAGTGGAGCTTAGGTGTGACTAGTTTTCTCTCACTGCCTCCCTCAGAGCATGTTAGAAAATGTCGACTAACCTTGGACTGGTCGGATATTTTGTCCTATTCTAAATTTACTGCCCAGCAAAAGTGTTACTAATGCCTGCCACGCCTAATTCACAGGGGTGCTGAGACGGACCAAAGGATAATCTAAGTGAAGTCTCTGTGTGAGCTCTGATGCCTGCCACAGATGTGAGGCGGTATGATTAACGCTGCCTCCTTCTCTCAGTCAGAGCCCCACGAAGGTGCAGACGTGACTAAGCCCTCAGCAAGCCACAAAAAAAACCCAGCCATCTTAAGCTCAGCCTGAACACACCCCAAGAGTATGCAATTAACAGCGCGTCCACCCTTTCGGTGGAAGACGGTCCTGAGTGTGCTTGTATAAAAGTCGTGAAGTCTCTGGAACGCAGCGGCATCGAGCAGAGGAAATGCTTGCCGCTGCCTGGCAAGTCAAACACGCAGGTTCTGTCACAATACCAGCAAGGGCGGCGCCTCAGACAGGCCCCCTTCCTCCTGTTCACAGAATTCGGCTAGTTCAGACTCACCCAGACCTATCCGGACCTTTCCGAACCTGCTGTTACAGTCAGCTCTCCAGGGAGCTGAGGGCACACACCCATAACCCAAGCGCTCGGGTGGAGGACTGCCGTGAGTCTGAGGCTAGCCTATGCTGCAGTGTGAGACCCTGTCTCAAAAAACCAAGTCAGC